AGAACAACCTCCCTCCACCCCCCAGGTTTCCTAGGGTTTGCTCATCACTGGCAGCAGCTCAAATCCCAGACCGGGATGCCTGGCAGGGACTGGGCATGGGATGGTCACAGAGCATTCCCAGGTTCCTCAAAGCACCTTCCATTAAATGCTCCACCTCCCCTTCCCCTCCTCCCCCTCAAAAAATCCAGCCCTGAGCCCAGCCACTCCCAGCTCCTCCACAGCCATTTCCCAGGTTCCCAGACTTAACTGTCGAGGCTGCAGACACATTTATTATCTTTTTTTGCCATGCCATCTGGCATTTGTGTATCAGAAGAAGATTATATCTATGTCAAACAGGGGGGAAAATATCTCTCCCTGTAACAGTTGTAGAAGCAAGGGGGAGAAAAAAATACATTAAAAAAAAAAAATTAAATCCCGTGGACCATATGGAAGATTTTTTTTCTTAAGTGATCTATCTTGAGCAGTTAGGAGGTGTCACAGGCAATGTGCAGCTCCTGGGCTCACTGGGAGAGGAGCAGGGTGGCAGCGTCGGGCGATCTGAGCCACCTGAGCCACCTGAGCCACCTGAGCCACTGCCACCGCCCAAACAGCCTGGGAATGTGAACTACCCCCTCTCCTGTCCCAGCATGGGGGCAGAGAGGCAGGCGAGAGGAGAGGGAACAAAGCGGGACAGCTTGCAGCATGCCGAGTGAATCAGAGCAATGGCCTTTCTTTGCCTTTCGGGGTTTTATCATCGCGCGTCTTGCGAAAGCGAGAGGTGTGAACCCGCCCTGGAGCCCGGCCAGGTTTGCAGTGCCTGCTCCGTGCCTCCCCGTGCCGGGATCGTGGAAAATTACTGGCTTCTCCTGCCGGGACTGCCACATGGGCCTTGGCAGGGCCAATGAACCAACCCTGGCACGGCCTGCTGAGCACCGAGAGCAGCCGGCGCTGCCACCGCGCCCCGTGGTGTGTGCCGTGGGCACCGGGCTGTGCCGTGGGCACCGGGGTGTGCCATGGGCACCGGGGTGTGCCGTGGGCACCGGGCTGTGCCATGGGCACCGGGGTGTGACATGGGCACCGGGCTGTGCCGTGGGCACCGGGGCGTGACGTGGGCACCGGGGTGTGCCGTGGGTACCGGGGTGTGACATGGGCACCGGGGTGTGACGTGGGCACCAGGGTGTGACGTGGGCACCGGGGTGTGCCCAGGGTGCCCTTGGCTCGGGAGGGAGGGCACGGCCCCTCCTGGCTTGGCAAGGTCACCTCCTCACCAGGAGCATCCTCTGCAGCGTTCCAGCTTCATCCTCCAGCTGGGAGAGCACAGAGAGGTGAAGCACTGCCAGCAGCACCCAGGAAAATCCTGCTGGGAAGGTGGAAGTACCAGCAGGGCATGGGCAGGTCCATCCCAAACCAGTCTGTAATTCCATGATTCTAAATTCCCTTCTAATCTGCATTTTGGCAAAGTCCCTCGGGCACTCTCAGTCCTCTTGGGCTGGTTTTGCATCCCTGATGAAGAAGACCAAGGCTTCAGCATCCTTCAGAAAGCATTTGAGGGCAGCTCATGGAGGCTAGAAAACAGCACCCACCTGCCCTCAGCCCACGGGGAGATTTGGTCAGATTGAACCCCTCACCCCAAGCACGGCACTCCTCTGCTCCCCACATCCATGTGCTTCCTGGGGGGCTTGGGGAGGAAGCGCCACCAAGAAAGCAGCACTTCCCTGGGAATTTGTCTGTCTTGGGATCATTCAGGCGGATCTCCACCAAGCCTGCTGACCCTCCTGGGTGTCTCCCCAGGGCCTTTTTGGGGTCACCAGAGCACAGGCGCAGCACTGTCCCCATGATCCTTGCGAGACACGCTCCGCATGCCCAGAGCCAAAGGCAGGATGGTTCTCCTTTCCCAGCCCGGGGTTGGCAGTCCCGGCGCGCCGGGAGCAGCGCCCGCCCGGAGCCGGAGTGGGAAAGCCCCGGCAAAGCAAAGGGCTCGGAGCGACACCGCGCAGGCAGCCCGGCCCCATCCTGCTGGGACACAGGGTAAACAAAGGAAATACCACAAAATCAAACAGCATCACTGCCCAGAGCACAGCTTCCCCCAGTCCTCTCGGGAAAGGCTTCTCGCCTCTTCCCTTTTTCCCCGCTTCTGCAATTGGTGCTCTTGCCTCTGGGAATCAGTTCGGCCCAGTATTTATTGTACTCCGTGCCCCCCAGAATTGCCTCTGGGTTTGTAAGTGCCAACCAGAGCCATTTCCTCCTTGCTGCGATTCACACTGGCCGGGGCAGATGTTTGGCGATGTGGTGGCGGGAGGGAGTGAAGCCCCAGCTGCTCTCCGCTCTTCCTGCTGCTAAAGTTTATGCCGTGGAGTTATTTTTACCAGGAAATCCAGCTGTGGTCAGAGCTCCTCTGGCAGCTGACCAGCCCTGGGGGTGAGGAGCACAAAACCCACTGTTGCAGCACCCCAGACCGTGCTGACCTCCCTGCTGGGTACCATCCCTCTGCCCCCCACATCCCCCACATCAGCATCCCTGCAGAAGGTCCTGTGGGGCAGGGACGTGCCAGCAGCTGTCCCTGGAGCTGCTGTCCCTGCCCGTCCCACTGCAAACACCCACAGTGGCAGCTCTGCCCTGGGTCGTGTGCCACTGACACCAGCCAGCAGGCCTGAGTCACCCGGGATGTCTCGTTGGGGCTTGAGCATGGCACCCCAGATTTTGGGGAGAGGTGGAAGGCAGCGAGGCAGCTGAACAGCAGCAGGATCATTTAGATGCCTCCAGCCTCCTCTGCTTTTTCCCAGAAACACAGGAACCCCACACCGAAGGGTATCCCCACCCCAGCCCACCATTGCCCCTGTGCTTACAAGGACATAGAAGTGAGTCAGGTGGGGCAAAAATTCCCATCGATGTCTTTTCATTGCAAAAATCCTTTTGGAAATGCAGAATAAGTATGAAAGTCCTGCTACCAAGCCAAGGCTGGTTGTGATCCTGCACCCAGGGAGAGAAGATCCCTGCTGGAGTGCACCCTGTTAAAACTGCTCCCTGCAGGTCTGGGACTGCCAGGCTGAAGCAAAGCTGGTAAGAAAACCCTCAAAAATAACTTGTTAGAAAATGTTTCCCAGCAGAAATGTTCCTGAGGTTGCTTGTGTCTTGCTTGTTTAGGCTTCTCCATCCTCCCCAAGGATGCACCTGGAGCCTGCTCCACGCTCCAAACCCCCCTCTTCAGGGTCACTTGGAAGGCTCTTACTGTGGAGAACAGGACAATCATTCCTGCCTTGACCTCTCTGCAGAAGCTTCTCCAGACTCACTCATTCCTCTCTTTGGTTACCTTCACGAAAGTTTCAGACATTTCCCATCCCCAGTTTGCTCTGGCAGCCCCAGCAGTGAGTCCCCTGCTCTTCTGCACCCAGATTCTCCTTTTCCCACCTGGCCTTTCATTAGAAAAGCCCTCTCCTCTGGAAAATCCCAGGCTCAAAAATCCCTGATTCCATCTCCAGAGGAGCTCCTCCAACTGTGCAGGTTTGGGCAGGAGATCTTCCCCAGCAGCATCCTTGCTCTGCATTGGAACTCCCCATCCTGCACACCCAGGCTTGTGAGCTGCTGTTCTGCAGGAAAATAAGGGGATGAGAGAAATGAAGAGGGATGAGTGGATGTCAGCTCAGGAACATCTGAGTGGAAATGAGAGCTGGCAGTCACCAAGGATCCCAGTTCTTTTTCTGCTATCTGCTTTGTTAGATTTTATTTCTGTTCCAGGAAAACTGGGGGGAAAAAATATATCTGAAGTCAAACAAAACATTTTCTTTTGCTAAAAGGGAAGGATTTCATCTCTGCCTCAGCATTAGAATAATTTCCATTTCAAAAGTGGGCTGTGATTTTAAAATGAAAATTGAGACCATCCCATCCCCAAAGGTTGAAATGAGATGTTTTGACAGACCTTTTTTTTTTTTTTTTTTAACCTCTGGGGCCCTTTTGCCTGGGATCAATATATCCTTGCAGTGAGCTCTGTATTTGACAAGCAGCAACTTTTCACCAGCTAAACATCCCCTTAAATCTTCATCAGTCGAGGACAAGGCTCAGAGGTGCAGGGTCCTTGTCGAGGTCCCTCTGCCCTTGGATACAGTTTCCTCCATCCTCACCAGTTCCTCAAGGATGTCACCTGGGAATCCCAACAACTCATTAGCACTTAATACACAGCGAGAGGAGCTGGTACCTATTCCTCCCATCCAAAATAATCTCCCAATGTTTGGAAATAAACGGCAGAAATATGTCCCAGCAGGTGTTACCTCTTCAATGTTGTCTTGTTTGTAGCCAGTCACACGACAACATTCCCATAACACCAGAGGTAAGCAGATGGCACTTATTAATTTACATCGTAAATACGCTCTAATGTGTACACCGAGCAGCCACTTCTGTGGGAGGCAGCTCTACCTGGCTCACACAGAGCATCACAGCCCAAACGCCTCACCTGAGAGCGGGGACAGCGGTGCCATGTCCCTGCTCCCCACGGAGGCTCCATGCCTTTTACCGGAGCGGTTCTGCAGCAGCCGTGGCCATGCACAGCCCCTCTCCCCACAGCTGTCAATCGCTCGCCCCAGGCGCCAAACCAGAGAGAATTACACCCAAAGTTATTAGAGGCAGCGAGACTGCAGGCAGCATCAACACAGCATATGTCCCAAAGTAAACAGATTGCGCGGAACTTTCCGGAACGTGCTGAGGGGCCGGCGGTGCCGACGCTGCTCTTCCCGACACACGGAGCTGCCTGCGGGGAGGGGGACATGTGCTCCCCCGGGGCCCAAAGCTGCAGCTCTGCTGGTGGCTCTGCCAAAGCGCTGCTGGCCCACCCCACTGCGAGCAGGGACACGCTGGAATTGGGAGCTGGAAAATGACGGAAGGTGCTCTCTGGGCCAGGCCACCTGGCACATCCAGTAATGATTGGGGCTGGATGGAGAATTATCAACACAGATGGGTTTGCACTAAAATAGCTCCGTCCCATCTCCCCCTCCCAGCCCTCCCCTCCTCTCTTTTGCAAGGCGACACAGTTGAAAACTGGTGAGTTTTTAATTTTTTCAAGATTTTTTTTTTAAGTTCTGGAAAGAGGCACAAGTAAATGGGCAGCAAAAGGAACCCAACATCACCGAGGGATGTAAAAGATGTAACTATTTTTTGCTGAAGGTGGGGGAGCACCAGCCCACCCTTCTTTCTGCGGACACTGTGGCTGCAAAGGGCTGTGGCACAGGAGAAGGAAGGACACCACAAGAACTGCAGTGTAGCCTCCAACTCCAACCTGCCAAGAGCATCCAGCCTGCCTGTAAATCCCTGTCTGTGTTGCCTAATGCAGGGGATGATCCCAAATCCAGCTGCCCCCCATCCTGCTTGGAGACCTTGGCAGTGTTGCTCAGAGGCCTTCTCCCCAGTGTCACCTGCGTTCAGCAATGGCTGCAAGCGAGCACTGAGGATAAAAACCCAACCAGAGACATCAGGAGGCTGTGATAAAAGGTCCACGGCATAACACCATCCCTGCAGGATTTAAAATCCACATGCCATCAGATCTGAGCAAGGGGAGCCCCACATCTGGTGCAGCACCTGCCCAGTGCCCCCTTCTCCTGCCGCCACCCCAGAGCCCACGGCAAGGGCTGGATGCAGGAGAACATCACCCACACTGCAGAGTCTGCACTGGGGAGAGGAAATTCACTCCAGCTGCCAGCTCTGGCTGATAAGACAATCTCCTTTCATCTCTTATTGCCTCTCACTCCACCCCTTCATTCTTTATTTTCTTTTTGGTTGCACCCAAGGGCCCGTGCTGCCCTGGGTGCCCTGCGTCACACTGACGTCAGGGAGGCAGCCAGGACCACGATCATGGGGCTTCTTTCACAACCTGCCTGCCCTGGGGACTCTCATTAATCAAGATCTGCAGATAACAGCCCTGCAGAACGACTGCCAGCAGTCCCAAAGGAGCCCACACTGGTTTTTCCAAACAGCCGCCCTGGCAGAGCTGGAAAAGGGCAGGTACAGGGCTGGAGGGGCTCCAGGTGTGTGCACTGTGGCAGCACTGGCCTTGGAGAACCCTGGTCCAGTGGAAGTGGAACCCTGTCGTTGGCAGGGGCGGGGAATGGAATGAGCTTTAAGGTCCCTTCCAACACAAACTCCTCTGTGATTGCTCCAGGGTTGGCACAGGACCTTCTGCATCCACCCTGGGACAAAAAAGTAATAGATTTGGCCACAGGCCTCTGGCTCTCAGGCAATCCTTGTTTATCCATCTCATCCTGCTAGCTCAACACTTAGCTGTGGATATTGAGCATCAGCCCTGTCAGGTGACATTGGAGTCATCCCACCTCCACATGGCAGTGAGAGGAACAAGCCTTCAGTTTCAGTTTTCCCTTCTTCTTGGAGATCTTTACAAAAGAAAAGGGAAAAAAAATCTTTAAGAGTTTCCCAGCCCTACCGCCTTCTCCTTCATGCCTGCTCCCAGCTGGAAAACAAGGATTACTTTAGCTGCTGGATTTCTCTTGCTCAAGGACAGTTATTTGCATGGCTTTCTGCTAAAGCCCTGGTTTTGGGAAGAGGGCATGAATTTAGGGCTCATTTCAAGCCACAACCCTCATTTTCAGAATGTGACCCCTCCTTCCTGCATAATGAAAATCCATTCCTTGTCTTGGGGAGTGTTCATTATAGGCAGAGGAGACCAGTGCGGTTTGCACATGGAAAAGAATTACTATGAGACACTTCTTAAAACATTTTTTTTAATTGATGTGCTCCCAGTCTCCTGCTTGCTGGTGGGTAATTAAGTCAATTAACAAGCATCTGTTTATTTATTTCCCTTATTGATGGATGTAAGCAGTTTGGGTAGCAGTTTGTAACAAGGGCCCGCTGCAGCTTGCCCGCCGATCCATGAATATTCAGGCAATCACTGCACTCCATCTACAGGACCTGCTCCTCCACCAGCAGGAACCTGGGAATGAGCTCCAGGGTGGGCAGGAATCCTGCCCTTGGTTGGACAGGGCTTGGAGCAACCTGGTCTGGCGGAAGGTATCCCTGCCCATGGCAAGGGGTGGAATGAGATGGGCTTTAAGGTCTCTCCCATCCCAAACCAGTCTGTAATTCCATGATTCTAAATTCCCTTCTAATCTGCATTTTGGCAAAGTCCCTCGGGCACTCTCAGTCCTCTTGGGCTGGTTTTGCATCCCTGATGAAGAAGACCAAGGCTTCAGCATCCTTCAGAAAGCATTTGAGGGCAGCTCATGGAGGCTAGAAAACAGCACCCACCTGCCCTCAGCCCACGGGGAGATTTGGTCAGATTGAACCCCTCACCCCAAGCACGGCACTCCTCTGCTCCCCACATCCATGTGCTTCCTGGGGGGCTTGAGGAGGAAGCGCCACCAGGAAAGCAGCACTTCCCTGGGAATTTGTCTGTCTTAGGATCATCCAGGCGGATCTCCACCAAGCCCACTGGCCCTCCTGGGTGTCTCCCCAGGGCCTTTTTGGGGTCACCAGAGCACAGGCGCAGCACTGTCCCCATGATCCTTGCGAGACACGCTCCGCATGCCCAGAGCCAAAGGCTACGAGCCCGGCCAGCGCCGTTCGCTCGTGGACCAAACAACTCCCCGCGCTGCCTTCAAAGAGTTACTTAATCACAGGCAGCACAATTAAGGAGGCCTGGGAGCCAGAGAAAAAGGGATTAGCAGACTCTGGGCAGAGCATTCATCACGGCGAGCAGTTCTGCAGAGGCGCATCTGCTGCTGACTCCTCTCCTGCAGACGCACCGGTTTTATTGCCGTGTCAGCACCAGGGATGTTTACTCTCTCCTGGAGCCCAAGCCCTGCAGCGCTGAACACGCTGGTTTTCCACGAGCTGGGGGGAAAGGGATGCTCCCAGACCGGGGAATTACCATCAGCACCTCGGAGGAGGCTGCACCAAAAGCGGTTGTGGGGCTCCCCACGCCCTGCCTGCATGCCTGGGAGAAGGGAGGGCAAGGCTCCTAAGCACCCTTTCAAAATTCCTCGGGTTTGGTAAATTAATTAGTTTAAACGAGCAATTAGAGCTCAATTGTAGCTCTGCTGGATGGCTGCATCTTCCCCTGTCCCACTCTTCAAATTAGAGTTTTGGGGTTTTACAGGAAAAATCATGGGGGCGGGGAGTGAAGTCAGGCATGGAAGAAAACAGGGATGGCAGTGGGTGAGGGAGGGCACAGGTGGGAGGGTCGTCTCCAGGGTGCAGGGAGATAGTCATCCTTGTTTCTCCATGGTGCTGGAGATTTGGCCAAATCCTGCTGTTGGATATCTCCAGGTCGGCCTCGTTTCAGAGCTCACAGGAATTTGCCATCCTGTTTTGAGACAACTCAAAAAAGTCCAACAAGTTCTCCAGGAAAGCCCTCCAATTTACAACAGAGCAGGAGGCATCGTAATAACAATAATAACAGTAATGATAATTGATGAAAGTTTGCTGTAATGAACTGGCTGCAGCCCAAAGCTGCTTAAGAGACTCAATTTCCCTGTGACAACTCAGTGAAGGCACCAGAGAAATTCACATCCCATGGCTTTGCTGATAAATAAAGCATCCCTTCATGGCAGTGCAGAGCTGGGACCTTTCTTCCACACACACTGACCCCAGAGAAGCCAACTCAGTCGTTGATGCCCCTGGCTCCCTGGCCAGGCTGGAGGGGGCTTGGAGCAACCTGGGATAGTGGAATGTGTCCCTGCCCATGCAGCAGGTGGAATGGGATGGGCTTTCAGGTCCCTTCCCACCCAAACCAGTGTGGGATTCCAAAATTCCACAACAATTGCACACTCTGAGCCCTCCTTGAATTCTTTTTAGAGTCTCTGAAGACAACTGATGGAGACATCATTTTCCTGGGCAAATGAAATTACGTGCTGCCCCCTGAGGAAATAATTTTTATTCTGCACCTTTTCCTTAATCCCACACTGTGTGAGAGACGGTTGAGTTATAGATTTTGGAGGCTCTCTTTTCTCCCACTGCTGCCAGAAACGAAATGGACCAGGAATGTCCTGCCCTGGCTGAGGTTTCTGTGCATGTGCCAAGCACTCTCTGTGTCCCCCATGGACAGAGCATGCAGGGATGAGGTCATGGAGGATTTCAAACAGCACCTGGGACTCTAAAGATGGCATGGAGGAGGTGCATCCTGACCACAGAAAGATCAGAATTCCAGGGAGAAGGAAAAAAGGTGGATGGTTTTGGGGGCCTTTACAGTCCAGCCCAAACAGGGTCACTGTCACAGTTATAATTAGAGTTAATAATTACCTCTGCCTGATATCATCCTCTCCCAGCCCTTTACACATGGAGCCAACACAGAGCAGTAGGAGAAGGATCCAACGAGGATGAGACCTCTGGAGACACAGGGAGAGGGGGTAAGATATCCCATCACTGCATCCCTGCCAAACCCCACTCCCTGAAGGGGCAGAGCTGCATCCTGGTATTCCTCAGGAGAAAAACAAACCTAAACCAACCAACCAAAATAAACAAACAAACAAAAAGCTCCCCCAGACAAAACAAATAATTTTTAAAAACCCCAACTCTTCCCCCACAAAAAAAAAAAAAAAGAAAAACAAACAGACAAACCCCCAAGAAACCCAGCCCTCCCCAAAAAAATTTAAAAAACCAACACCTCCAAAAAAAATTCCCTGAAAATATCCCCCAAACAAACCCACCCTCAAAAAAACCCCAAAAAATGAAACAAAAAACCTAACCCCCCCAAAACAAAACACAAAAAACCCAAAAACCCTAGAAACAAATTAACTAACTAACTAACTAAAATTAAATCAAACCCCACCCCAAAACTCCCTCAAAAATAAAAAACTTCCTTCAGACCCCCCCCCCCCAAAAAAAAAAACCCAGAAAAACCTTCAACTCCCCAACAAAACAACAGGTTTTGCTTAGATCATGGAAACTCTCTGCAGTGAAGCGAGATGCTGCTATCCACATCCATCCTGAACGTCCCAACAAACCATCCTGGGGCAGCACCTACCCTTGGCCAAATCTGTGCGTGTCCACCACCCCCTGGTTTTATCTCCTTTGGCCTTTCCTGGGGACATCTCGTCCTTCCTGAGCTGTCCAGGCCTCGCAGCTGTTTGGAGCTGCTGCCCCTCAAGGGAGGAAGGGGCTGCTCTGGGCTCCTGTTCAACAGCAACATGAAATAATCCTCATGGCATCATCTCATCTGGCCTTGCCTCTGCTCCAGCTGGTCCTGCCTCTCTCCCAGAGGTGCAGCTGCCTTGGAGGAGCTCTGGGTTGGAGGAGGAGAGGTTTTGGCATTTGGTTCCCCCCAGTGCCCCCTGCGCTTTCTGGGTTGGTGGGGTTACTCACACCACAGCAAAGACAAACATGCTTTTCCTGGATCTCTCTCTAGAAGGAACTTAGGAAGGGTTTGGGGGGGCTAAAACTGAAAAATAGAAATAATTTAAATCCCTGATTAAGCTGGAGGTAGCAGCACAACAGATAACAGGGTCTCCATGCCGGGGGTTTAGGGTGTATTGAAAGCCAACAAGGATACAATCCTGCAGGAAACTCATCCTGCTGCTTCCTCAGCTCCTGCCACGGCTTTGGGTCAAACTCACATTCCTATGGGGACAGTGGACACCTTTGGGACTAACTGAAAATCATAAAATCATGGAGTAGTTCAGGTTGGAAAGGATCTTAAGACATCATCTTGTATCACCCCCTGCCATGGGGAGGGACACCTGCCATTATCCCAGGTGGTGCCAACCCCATCCAGCCTGGCCTTGGACACTGCCAGGGATGGAGAGTCCACAGCCTGGACTTGCTCCCTGTTTTCTTGGTGCCCAGAAATTCTCTCACAGAAAGTATGGACTTTCCCCTTGCATCAGCACTACCAGGGACCCTCCTCTCTCAGAGAATTTCCCCAGATATGCTACTGCTGCACAAGGTGCTGAGGCTGGACTGGTAAACACACTGAGGACTGAGCTTGGAAAGGGGAGAGCAGAACTGTCAGCTTCCAGGGTACAACAAACAGAGATTCCTCTGATATTCACATGTTCCCCAGGAGAAAAAAATGATATTGAAAACACCCCATGTCAGAACAGAACTTCCAGAACAGCCCTTGCAGTGACTCTGGCAGGGATGGTGGGTGGGAGTATCATCCTCACAATGTTCTTCCCAGTTAGGTACAGACCTGATGACAGGGGGATCTGGGACACATTCTGGAGGTTTTGAGATCCTGTCTCCTCTTACCTCTGCACTTGTGGGGAGGGAACTCCCAGCACTCCTTCCTTCTCCTGCAGCTGGGAGCAGGTGCTGATGCATCTCTTTGCTACACTGGGTGCTCCAAGCTCCCTTCTTCATCCTCACAGATGAGCTTTGTGTCTGGCTGCAGCCTTCAGTGCTTCAGGGCTGGATCACAGGATCAGAGAATCCCAGAATCCCAGAATGGCTTGGGTTGGAAGAGACCTTAAATCCCATATCGTTCCAACCCCCTTCCACTGTCCCAGGTGGAGTGTGACACTGCCATGGTCCTTCCTCACACAAGTCCCTGCAAATGGCTGAGGGATGGACCAGCCAGTGCTCAGGGAGAAAGGGAAAACCTCCCAGGACTGCTGCCTGCCCCATGGTGCCTGGAGCAGGGCAGCCACACAATGGAGGGATTCCAATGAACCCATAAATCTGTCCAGGGAAAGCAGGGAGCATAAACACCCCTATGATCCCTGAATACACAGGGAAGTGGATTTATAAGCAGAGGCAGAAGTTTTAATAAATACCCATTCCTGGGGAAACTCCACCTCTGGCACAAGCAGAGTGGAGCCGGTGGTATGATTGGTGTCCTGTGGGCACAGAGAAAAGATGGAGCCTGTGACCCATCTGCCTGGCACTGGGGATGTGGCTAATGTGACCTGGAACACCCTGGGATACAGGAAGGTGTCCCTGCCCATGGCAGGGGGTGGAACTGTGTGGTCTTTAAAGGCCCTTCCAACCCAAACCATTCCATGTACAAACACGTGCTTTTGGAGCTGTGCCCACACCACTGCCTTCTCTCCACCCCATGCTGGATTTAAGCCAAAGCAGCATCTGAAATGATTGCCCCATACCACCCTCCCAGCTGTCAGCTACATTTTCTGGGCCACAAGCCCCTGACAACTCATTCCCTGACGGATGCAAGGAAATCTTCAAATGTGATGTGGCAGCCTTTCCTTCCTTTGTTACGGGCAGCCCTGTATTTATGAGCCCTGTATTTATGCCCTCGGCTCTAGAGGATGCTCAAGCAGGCTCCAGCTCCAGGGGGACAGGCAGCATCTGACTCCATCCTCCATCCTCCTAAATCCCTGACTCTTCCAAATGCCCCATCCCTCCAAACCACCCTGCAGGGGACCAGGCCCGGGGTGAACTCCAACCCCCAATGGCCACAGAGGCAGCTCTTCCCCTGCAGCTTTCTGCTTGCTTAAGCACTGCTTCTGCTATTAAATTCAGAAAAGCAATAACATCCCCAGCAATAGATGCCACTCACGATAGCTCAGGGAGCAGATAAGGCTCCCAGAAATGTGTTATTCCTGTTCAAAGCCTTGGTCACAGTGACCTCCACAGATACTTTAAATTCGAGCTGGTTTAAATTGGTTCTTTGTTTGTCATTACATCCACTTTTTAAGGAAACTTAAGTGATCCTAAGCCCTGCTCATATCTGTTATGCTCTGCTTTCTTTCTTCATTTAATGGGGCAAAGACTAGTTTATTTAAAAAAAAAAAGATTTCCACCTCTCAGATGACAGACTGCTCTTGACCCAAGCAATTGTGCCCCCCACCCCTCTCCTTCTCCCTCCTCCCAGGAGATGGAAATTAGCCCTTTGATGGGATGTGTTGGCACCTTACAGGGATCCAGTAAATTTAAAAAAAAATTAAAAATAAGAAGCAGAGTCAGTTTGCTTCCCACTGACCCTCAAAGCTGGGGAATGTTACTGCTTTAGGATGCAACAGAGTCCCACAGCATTCCCACATTGCATCCCTGGCAGGAGATGGGACCTGCAGCTCTCCCACTGCTTCCACTGAGGTATCCATCATCTGCAGGAGATGGAGGCAACCCTAGGCCCCAACCCTGCACCACACAGCTCTGCTTCAGGCTCTTGAGGTGCAGGGAGGCATAAAACTGGTTTTTTCTCCCCAAAAAAGGCTCCCTCCTCCCCTCGGATGGCAGGGCTTTTATGGCACCCCCACATCTCCTCCCGGCCAGGACAAGTCCTGGTGGGCACAGCCAGGACCAGGCTGGCTCCTGGAAGGGGCAGAGACCAGAACAGCCAAAGCCAGGCAGGCTGGGCAGCTGGAGAGAGAGGGGCAGGGTGGTTTCATGGAGCCCCACATGGAAAAGCTCCCCTGTCCCTGTCCCCACACCATTTTCAGTGCAGAAGCTGCAGACACACACGGCTGCATCCCAAACCCCTCCGTGTAATTACAGATCCACCGTTTCTTCTGGGCTTCCACTTATTTAATCATCCTTCTCATCTGCCTCTAATACCCTGAGCTCTGTCAGAGGGCACAAACACAGCCTTTACGTCCAGAAGGACAAGAGTTCCCTGCAACAGCTGCTATATTTAACAGAAAAAATACACTGGGTTGCCATGGCAACCCTGGCTTCTAAAAATAGACCTGCCATATCCAGCACAGCCGAGAGCACAGGCAGTGCTGACGGAAGCTGCTTTCCCCGAGCGCTGGGGAATGGAAGTAAACTTTTATTCCTGGCTGGAATCGCCCCGGAGCAAACCGTGCACAAAGAAACCACAGGAGCCTTTGCTAATTAAAGCAAGGGAAGGATCCCCACTTCCCTGGGCTCAAGGACTGATCCCTGAACTGCAGCTCCTGGAATCAAAAGGGTGCTTTGGGAACGGGGGCAGGGCTGAAGCCAGCTGGATGAAGATGGAATGATGGTGCTGGATGTGGCTGGTTTTCCTGCCGGCACTGACACGCTGAGGCTCAGAGCGGCCAAGTGCCCAGAGCCCTGGCAGCAGGGTCACCCCCAGCCAGCAGAGCTGCCGGGGTGAGGCTGGTTTTGGGCACCCTCAAGGGGCACCCAGCCTTGCCTTGAGTGCTTCAAATGACCTGCAGAGAGCCGAGATGGGGATGCACAGTTTTCCAAATGGCCTTTTCCCCCCTTCCACCAACAAAACCAGGTCTCTGGGCATTGAACCAGGAGTGTTCTCCCTCCCCACTGGAACACAGACCCTGTCACCAAAACACACCCCGAGCTCCCTACAGCAAGAGCCAGCTGAGCATCCCCCAAAATCTGATTAGCAAGGTTGGGTAGTCACAGCCTGCCTAGGAACAGCGGTTGCTTCCCATTGCACTCCAAGCCTCCAGTCATCTCCCTAACCCTCCTTGGCATTTCTTGCTCCGAGCGGAGGGCGGGCCTCAGACAGATCACAGCCCCCTGGCACTGCCCTGATCCTGGGTGGGAGGATCGCAGTGCCCTCCCCACGCTCTCCCCGGGCAGCCCTGGCTTCCAGGAACCCTTGAGCACGGAGGTGGAGGGCTGAGTGCCTGCTGGAGGAGGCATGGCGCTGCTTGACTCCTGCTCTGCTCCCGGGAGGAAGGGCTCTTCAGGAAGAAAACACTTCAGCTTGGTGTAGCACTCAGTATGTGCTCTTTTTTTTCTTCCTCCCTACTTAAGAAAAAAAGATTGCCAGACCTGATGGGAGCCTAGGGTAATCTAGTGCAATATTTCCTCTGTTTCGTGGTTGGTACCAACAGCTTCGGAGCAGGGTCCAGAGGAGGCCATGAGGATGCTCAGGGAGCCAGGCTGGGAGAGCTGGGGGTGCTCACCTGGAGAGCAGAAGGCTCCAGGGACACCTCAAAGCCCCATCCAGGGCCTCCAGGAGAGCTGGAGAGGGACTGGGACAAGGCATGGAGGGACAGGACACAGGGAATGGCTTCCCACTGCCAGGGGGCAGGGATAGATGGGATATTGGGAAGGAATTGTTCCCTGGGATGGTGGGGAGGCCCTGGCACAGGGTGCCCAGAGCAATTGTGACCAAACACCAGCAGCAGCCGGGGCTCTCTTGACTCTCTTGACTCATCTCCCACCCGTGGTGGCCACGTGGACGTTGCCTCCCCTTGGCACAGGCTTGGCAGGGGCTGAAGGGGCCTCACTGAAGGCCTTCAGTTCGGTTTGCTTCATCCCTCCTCATCCTGACCCAGTTCCTGGCCAATCCTATGGCCATGAGCTCCCTGCAGAGAGGACAAAACACTGGATGTTTCTCTGGCTCCCTCCACCACCCGTGATGTCCTGTACAGTTCCTGCTCGGCGCCTTCCCCCGGCCTCTGGAAGCAGAGCACACTTGTCCTCCTCTATTTTTTGTCATACCTGGCCCACTTTTACACCTGCCATGAGTCCCTTTTCCCCCTGCAGTGCTCAGAATGGTGTTTCTGCAGCTGAGGCTGTGTCAGCACCACAGAAGCACCTCCTTGTCACCGACAAGGGCAGCAAATTCGTGCCCAAATAAATCCCTACTTCTGCAAAAGTGTGTGAAAGAAAAGGCTTTAATGGTGAATAAACTCCCAAAGTGGCCAAATGGAAAAGGGAGTGGATGAGATTTACACTCTGTGCCACGGTGTGAGGGCAGGGGTTGCAGCTCCTCTGGCTCAGTGCCGGGAGGATGGAGGGAGGGATGTTTGCTGCTGGGGCTGCTGCTTTTAGAGCAGGACAGGGAGTGACGTGCACGGAGCCTGTTGCTGCTAATGGTGTTTGTGTTTAAAGCCTAAACTCAGATCATGGGAAGATGATTTAGAAGGAAATTCTTTAGTATGAGGACAGTAAGGCCCTGGCCCAGGGTGCCCAGAGCAGCTGTGGCTGCCCCTGGATCCCTGGCAGTGCCCAAGGCCAGGCTGGACACTGGGGCTTGGAGCAGCCTGGGATAGTGGAATGTGTCCCTGCCCATGGCAGGGACGTGGAACTGGATGAATTCAAGATCCCTTCCACCCCAAACCATTCTGGGATTCCATGAAATAGATTTCACCAGGGCATCCTTCTCTCACCAGGAGAGTTTCCACCACTCAGTAAGGCCAGACCAGGTGCAGAGGTAAGAGCAGTCTGCATGTCCAGGCCCAGCCATGCCGTGCTCATGGTCAGGTGGGTGCTTTCCCAAGGAAACCCGGCTCCTGACAGCTCTGTCCCAGCCCCAACCTGCTGCCATCAGCCACAGGAATGCAACAACAGCCCTGCACAAGCCCACACCCACCCATGGAGCTCATGGCCCACACGTGGGCTGCGCTCTGAAAGTGAAACGTGAGAGGGGTCATGGAAGGTGCTCAAGACTTACAGGGGATGAGGCAGTACAAACACAGTAAGATGCTTAATTTTATGTGGATCTGGACGGATTTATCTCAAAGGTTTGCTGGGACCCCTGGGAGAAACTATGTAGGTGGAACATTCCTGGCCCCAAAAAGGATGAGATGCATCGCAGCAGAGCCAGAGCAGCAGCACAGCCAGGTAATGACTCCAAACAGGAGGTGACATCCCAGAATTCTGCATCCCTGGATGTCCCTCATCACAGATTCTCACCTCCCTCCTGGTTTCATGCCACCAGACTGGCTCAGGTTTTTGTCCTGTCCTTGCAGACATCCCTCATCCTTTACCCTCACTTCAGGCAGAATAAAAATGAGAAAAATCCTAGCAGAACATTCCTGTTTCATCAGGAATCCATGGAGAACCCACATTACAAGCCGAGGGACACCATAGGTACATTCAATCTGCTGGACATTATGATTTTTGACTCCACTGCTGTCCCAGACCATAGAATCCCAGACAGGTTTGGGTTGAAAGGGCCTCAAAGCTCATCCTGTATCACCCTCTGACATTCCAGGGACACCTTCCACTATCCCAGGCTGCTCCAAGCCCCATCCAGCGTGGCCTGGGACACTTGCAGGGATCCAGGGGCAGTCACAGCTTCTCTGGCCACCCTGTGCCAGGGCCTCACAGAGGCTTGTCCAGCCTTTCCTCCAAGAAAACCTGATTCAGCCACACTGAATTTTGCCTTGGGTTTCCTTTCTTTGCTCCAAGTCCAGCTGGGTCTCTCTCCAGGAGCCAGGAATTAGGTAGCACAGCTATTCCAAAGTAAATTGCCCTACAATTTCTTTTCCATAGCAAGAGGGTTGTTTTCTTAGGGCAAACCACTTCTATCCTTGAGGAAAATGTCAGCAGGAGGAATAGCCAGGGAAAACTTGGCCGTGCTGCTGTCCTGGAGTTACTATCAGGTAAAAAAAGGCCAGTGAGTTTCCCCTCTACAGTTTTTGTGGCCAAGTTCTTTAACTTTCCCCCAGCTCAGCTGAGGATGTCAGAACTGGGGTTCCCTATAAATACTCTCAGCCTGGGCTGGGGGGAACAAACCAAAAGGGCACAGAAACCATGGAGCTGCTCCAGCCAAGGAGAAACGTCTGTCATTGATGTAGTGGGAAAATTACACGTTTATATGGCCCCCCCAAACACAAGAGCAGACATCCATTTCCTGCAGGGCTGTGGACGCCTGCCAGCCCACAAATAAATCACAAAACCACAAAGCCAGCAAGGAGGAAAAAAAAGGGGAATTATCACAGAGGATGCAGAAGCCTTTTGTACTAGGAAAATCACCAGCGTCTCCACCAGACATCTATTGTTTATCAATAATATTCCCTGATGCTTCCCACCCTTTGGGACTGAGATGGGGAGGGATATTCAAGCAGAACAACAGAGGTCTCCTTGGATTTTGCAAACTCCAAAGGCACAGCCAAGGGGTGGCTTGGGAGATGCACTGACCTGCCCCAGAGGCATTTGTGGGACCAAACCCAAACAAACCCACAGCAAACCTGATATTAAATAGGTTTTGGCATGGGTGCAAAGATGGAATAAACTCAAAGTTGCCAACTTTCCTCCAGGAAGAGGGTGTCTGGAGGGCAGGGATGGAGCACTCAATGGTCTGGCAGCACCTCCAGAAGGATCATATCCAGTGATGCTGGAGATTAAGAGAACAAACAATTTCAGTGAGGACTTGCAGTCCTACTCCCACGCATTTTCCCTCCCCTTGCCTGTCCCCATGGAGGTTTAATGGCCTGGGCCCCCACTTCACAGCACCCTGGAGTCACTGAGAGCCTCTCCATTGCCTTCCAGCTGCCTTTGGCTCCAGCAGAGGGATCATGACAGCATCTTTACAGCTTCCTCCGTGGCCCGTGAAGCTGGGCTGTGTCAGCACCAGGGGACTGGAGGAGAAGGTCCATTAGTGGGGTTCTGAAGGGCAGTTCCTGTTTTCTGCACCACCCAGGGCTTGTAAAGGAACCGTGGATGGGTGCCATGCTTCCCAGGATATATTGTGGCTACAGAAACCCTGACAAATGTATCAGCACTCCCAAGTGGGTTTTTTCTTTTCCACTCTGAGCTGAAGTGCTTTAGGGGGCACCCAAAACCATCCTGTGCTGCTCACAGGGAAGCCTCTCCACCACCTCTATCCCTGCCATAGGAACACTGAATCTCATGGATTGCAAGGGACCCTAAAGGCCATCCAGTTCCAACGGGACCAGGTTGCCAGGTTGCTCCCAGCCCCTTCCCACCAGGATGAGGTGGGTTCATCTCCCCAAACCTCCTGATTTCACTGCCTGGACACCAAACCTACACAAGAACCAGAGGTCCCATGACCAGGGATAGCTGTGAAGAAATTCCTCCCCTATTCCAGGTGTGCTCATCCCAAATCCTCAGCCCTCCTGCTCTTACCCTGCAGTGGGGAAGCAAAGTCAGGGAATAGAGTAAAATGCTTCCCTGCACCTCAGGCACTTCAGCTTTTCCTTTCCTTCCTTGGCCTGTTTAAAAAAAAAAAAAAAAAAAAAAAAAAACACCAAAAAATAGAGAGAGAGAAAGAAATTGTATTTATTCACACACACAACAGTGAAACATTTGTTTAGGAGAAAATCTCACTGATTCTTGGCTGTTATTCCAGATGCAGGGAGAACAGCAGCCCTTAATGTCTGCCTGCTCCTCAGTGATTTGTGCTTTTGTGCTTTGAACGACGTTCCCAATTCTGATAAAGGTATTAGTGCATTTCTTGGGCTGAATTATAAATTATGAGATGCAAAACCATCTATTTATGCACTTCAGTGCTGAGAACTTACATGCAAAACAAGACACTCAAGCTCTCAAAGTTCCCACAGCAGCTTTCTCCACTCTGTGCAGACAAAGCACCCAAATTTTTTGGCTGTGTTTATGAGGGACACATTTCAGGGATAGGGGCAGGAATAGACATCTCCTGGATGTTTCCACAGCTCAGAGCAGTGGCTCCTGCAGCAATATCCTCTGAGCTGGGTCCAGGGCAAGCTCCCTCTTGAGCTCAGCATGACCAAATGGCACACAAGATAAGGACACTCAGGATATAAACACATCTGGAAGTGGCTCCCTAGCTGCAAAGAAATGCTTATTAACACACTTTTTTAGGGTAAAAATTGAGCAAAACTAAAATGTAGCAAGCACAGATTCGAGTTCTCATTTAGGGAAGGAGGGGAGGGGAAAGCTGTCCCCAAAGCAGAGCATGCCCAGCACTGCAAACAGCAGATTAATCCTTTGTTATTTGTGTTTCCACTTCCTTTTAACCAAAAGAATCACAGAACCATTAAGGTTGGGAAAGACCTCTAAGATCATCAAGTCTAACTGTGAATTCAAGAGCACAAAAGCATTTCTCTGAGCACCACATCCACATGCCTTTTGAACATTTCCAGCATTGGTGCCCCTGGGCAGCCTGGTCCAATATTTGACTAACTTTCCAGTGGGGAGATTTCCCCCACTTTCCACTCTAAACCTCACCAGGCACAACCTGGGGCCATTCCCTCTTGTTCTATCCCTTGAACTCTAGAGCCTTGCCCAGCTCTGTTCCCTTCTCAGGACACTCATCCCAACAACACGGTGGAAGAACAGGAAAGGGAGCTGCACTACCCCAGGGCACAGCTTTTCCTCTTCATTTTTACAAAGAGGAAGGAAAAAAAACACATGTGAAAAAAAAAAAGAAAAAAAAAGAAAAAAAATGTTTAGGCTAATCCTAAACTGAAAGTTTATATCCCTTAGTTAGATTTCAAAAAACAAAGTTTGTTTGGCTCAAAGTCAAATGTTTAATTTGACCTAAAAGCTTTAACTTTGCTTAAAGTTTCTTAGAATCTTAGAAATCAGAGGACTGAACAGCTCGTTTTAAAAAAGGAAAATAATAAAGCACTCTCCCCATCAGGGTTTGAGGCAGGTGACAACAATAAGCAGTGATAAAAGAGCAGCAGTCTGTGTTCACAGAAAATGCCTCAGCTTGCCCATGTGCCCACAAGGATGCATCAGTTCATGTTGTCAAAACTGCCCTATTTAAAAATAATAATCCTTAAATGTTCCCTCAGCCAAATGGAAAGGGGGTGATGCCTGGGCAGGAAATGGAGCCAAGTGTCCCAGCCAAGACTGCTGAAGTGTCCTGATGAGGGAGGGCCAGATGCCATGTCCTGCTCTTGTTCTGCACCATGAAGTGGCTGCTGTGGCCCCTGGGAGCTCACACTGAGCACTGCACTGTGCAGTCACAGCAGCCCTGACCCAGAGGGGAGAGCCAGGCCTGTTTTTTCAGGACAAGCCTCTGTGGCCATGGCTCTACTTCATCTCCCCACCTCTGCATTCTGCTTTGAAGCCCCTGCAGCACCCCAGAGATCAGCTCATCGCTTCCCCACCACTCCCTGAATACTGATGGAATACCATCAGTGTTCCTCAGAAATTGCTGTGTGAGTGCATACACTCGCCTGTAGCTCCAGCTGACAGGAGGAGCTCATTGTGCTTGGGTTTAGGAACACTTTGGAAAAGCTTAGAGCCCATCTCCCATCCATTTCATACAATCATAGAACCACTAAACTTGGACAAGACCTCCATCAAGCCCAGAATGGTGTCTTTCCTTCTCTGTTTCCAAGAACTGAGATTTCCCTTCATTTGAGACTTCTCTAACAAACCAAAAACACATATTCACCCTCACTAGCAGCTTGCTGGTGTATTTTTCCAGGCTTTCAGTTCTCAGTGCCGGCGGCTCCACATGGAAGCTCCAGCAGGCTCCAGGAGCAGGCTCTGGGCAGTGGAATTCTTGCCTGACACACGGCAGCTCCAGCAGGCTCCAGGAGCAGGCTCTGGGCAGTGGAATTCTTGCCTGACACACGGCTTTTGGGGGCAGCCACCTGAGCCTGCTGTGTCTGAGACCGTTGCCCTAAATTCTTGCTGCTCCTCTCCATTTTCCCAGCCACGACCTGATCCCAGGGAGAAGTCCACATTCCCTGCAGCTTCTTCCACTGCCCAAGGAAGCCTCAGGAGAACAGCAGCTTTTTTTGTGCTGCTACCCTCTAGATTTGAAGAATACTCCTGAACTTTAGCCTGGCTCTTGCTCCTGGCCTCTCTCTGAGGCTTTGATCCAAGGAAGCCTCTCGACACGTTCCCCTCACTGTGCTGGGGAATTCAGCACTGCAGTATCTTGCATTGCAGATTATTTTTAGGGATGATCCAATTGAGACTGATAAAAATAAGAAAGGAGCTGGAGAATCTTTGCTGGAGCTGACTGCGAGATGCTGTGGCTTACCAGAGCCTCACGGCCAGAGTGGGATTCCTAATCTAAGAGCACATCCCAGAACAGGTCAAGGGTTTATCCACAGGGCTCGATGGCTCAGTTGTGCTCCCACCAGCACCCCACAGGACAAAAAACAGGGATCACCACAGATAAACACAGATATATGCATGGCAAAATACCCAAATCACATCCAAATTTAGTTTCAAAGTTGAGGAAACATCACCTATAGCTGCCAAGGAGATCCTAAGCAATAGTGGCCGGCCAGCCAGCCAGGTGATGCACTGCTGAATTTCACTGAAAGCCCTTAAAAATTATTATCAGATCTTTAATAAACTCAGCTGGGCTGTGCAACCACAGCCCTCACCATGTGGCTCTCAACTGAAGAGATGAACAGAAAGCAGTGAGACATCTCCCTGTGGCATATGCCCAGACTCCAGAAAGTGTTTGGGGCAAAATTCCAGAGCACAGTAAAGGACAAAAACGGATTTTTTTTTTTTTCTTTTCACTGATGTGAAGAAACAGGATTTGCTCTCAACTGGTTGGTCAGTATTGCCTGGGGAAAGAAAGTAAAAAAAAAAAAAAAAACACCCTCAAGAGATGACATGTCTAAACCAGTCACATAGAGGTATTTATTTTTTTAAGAAGGGACTTTTCCCTTTTTTTTTTTTGGTCAGGTTGATTATTGCCAACAGTATTTTAACATCTGCTGTGCCTGCTGACCTACCACATTTACCCTACTTACACTAATTAAACTTTAATTAAGCTTGCTAGATGTTCATCTAGCATCAAAAGTAAGGTAAAGGCTTTGCCAAGCAAAGGTCTTGGCGTGGCTGGGCAGTTTGGGTTTACATAATTTTATTTATACATTCATAACAAAGGGGAGGGGTTTTAAGTGCAGGTCACTTCTGACCTACTCACCTGACCCTTCCAACACCTGCTCTGCAGCTTTGTTCTGAACCAGCTTCACGAGGACTGCCACTTGTTGGGGTAACAGACACCTCAAGGGACTGACGAGTGTTTGTTTGGGATGCTCCCGTGTGTCCAGGCCCTCAGCTACCTCAGGTTTCTCCTCCCAGGTTCCAATCAGGTCTTGTATTTCTGTTTCTTTAAAAAAAAATAAAAATCAAAAGGGCTTTCCTGCCAGGGCTTTCCTGCCAGCCCACCCTGGCAGTGCAGGGGTGCACTCTCAGCTCCGTGCACGCACAGCTGTTTTCCAGTCAGCCTCACTCAAACAACTCCAGCCAAGTTTCCTGACAAGTCAGTTTTCCTCTCCTCTCTGCCTCCAAAATAAATTCCCTCACATCCCAGGAAAGGTGCTGCCACAGGCTTGGGAAGGGAGGGAGAGGCAGCATCAGGAGTTTCTTGTGGCACCTGGAGCACAGGTGTCACACTCCCCTGACCAGCCAGGGCTGCATTAACCCTGTGAGATTAATCCCTGTGGGGATTAAAACAGATCCTGGCACTCTCCTCAGCTCAAAAGATTCACAGAATCCTTAAGGCTGGAAAAGACCTCGAGGGTCTTCGAGTCCCACTGTTAACCCAGCACTGCTTTTCCCTAATTTCAGCAGGATCAGCTGGGAAAGCAAAAGCCAGCTGCATGTGCACACTTCAAGGATCAGCAATCAGATTGTTGGCACCCAGAATTGTCCTCTTGCATGGTCCACTCCATTCTCACCTTCAGCAGAATGGCTGTGCCTTTGGTCCTGGGAAAGCCACTTATTTTAGAGCTATTCCTCTAAAATTGCTTGAGCAAGACTCCCTCCTTTCTTTCTTTTTCTTTCTTTCTTTCTTTCTTTCTGGTAAGCAGGAACTTTAAAAAGAAGGTTTTTGGAAAAGGATATTTTGGCAACAAACCTTTCAGTTTAGTGCTTGGCAGGCACCAAGCATTTAAGCTTTGAAAAATAAAAATTTGTTCGGAGCTTTGGGGTTTTGCTATTCTTTTGGCCTTTCTAAATTAAAGTGCAGGTTGGTGCTGTGAGTGGGGAGGTTCTGACACACACACACCAAAAAAACCCAAACCCTCAACCCTCAAGAATTTCCAATGATCTCTGCATAAAAAGATCTGAATCTAAGTCCAAATTCCCAGGAGGACCACACATGGATTCATGGAGTGATTTCCCCTGAATGACAGCTCCCAGGTAGCATTGAAGGCTGTTGGAATCATGGAATGGTTTGGAAAGGACCTTAAAACTCTTCCTATTCTCCTCCTTGCCATGGGCAGGGACACCTTCCACTGGACCAGGTTGCTCCAAGCCCTGTCCAACCTGGCCTGGAACACTCCCAAGGATGCAGGGGCAGCCTGTTTGAGGGTGGAAGGGAATTCATTGTTCCAAACAATAACCACCTATTTGTGGTGTTTTATTTTCAGTCCATCCAAGGAGAGATGCTCCTGGTGAGTGTTCTGTGCACAAACAGGGGCTCCCAGTGAGACATCCTGTCCACCAGCTGGGTCCAGCAAAGGAAACTGTCTGTGCAGGAATGAAATGGGTGCCTGTGCCACAAAGGCCTGGGCAAACAGGTGCCTTGAGCACACAGCCTGGAGCCAATGCTCCTGTTATCCCTTGGCCTGTGGTGTATAGAGCAGGGTAACAACCTCTTTAAATCCACGTCCTGCATCCCTCTCAGCAGCCCTGCACAACCTGCAGCCAGCCTCCTGTCCTGGGACCCTGCAACGGCTTTGCTTCCAAACTCATGTGCTCCATGGGACGAAAACAAAAAGAAAAAAGCAGAGAGGTAACAAGAGAAACGGAGCATTTGGCAAATGTGTATTGAACTTCACACAACAAACTCATTAGCTCAGGCGGCCCCGTCTCTATGGCAACCAAACAGCACAAAAACAAGGCATTAACACCTAAATTTATTAGTGGGCAAGTGCTTAGCTTTTATCATTCCAGGGGTGTATTCCCCTCCGCAGCTCGCTGGGATTCCCGAGGAAGACGGTTCTGATTCAAATGTCAACATAAACATCAGAACACCATTTACAGACAGAGGAGCTGGAGCTTTTGGAGTTTCAATCACAGTTTGAAAAACAACAAAACAAAACCGAGGAAAAGAGGCTGTGTGTAGGGGAGTTACCCAATTTCCACTTTGCTTTGCAAAATTGTTAAAGGTTTGCAAGTCATGGGTGAGGTGCGAGAAATGTTTTCCATCCTATCCTAACAGCTCCGTGAGGATCTTCATCAGGAGTAGGAATGGGGGCTATAAGCTGGTTCTCCCAAAATAATTTCCAAGTGCCCTGCCTTTATTTTAAGTGGATGTTACGAGCCCTAGGAAAATGTGTAACCCAGTCTCTACTGTGCCACAAGGCTCCAGGTCATGCCACAGGCTCTGGGGGAGGAGTGGGACTGTTTGGATTTGTTCCAGGAATACACAAGGGCTTGGGCGTAAAGATGCTGGAAAGCCACATTTAAATGCTTCCCATTTAAAGCATCTTTCCATTCCGAGGGCCCTGGGTGAATTCCAGCGACCCCAAGAGCTCAGACCATGCTGGGACAGCTTGGAGAAGATAACAAGGTGACAGATCTCTCTCTGCAGGTCGGAGTGAGGCAGGAGAACAAAGGATGTGTCTCAGCCCAAGGCACGCTTGAAGCTGTGCTGGGGCTAACAATGCTCTTCACATTTCCCTAAGTGCTCAATGAACTTCTTTTTTCATCTTTGCTCCAGGGTTTAGAACAACCTTCAGTAGGAATAAGGATCTGGCTTTCTTGGGGTGGATAGTCTTAAAGAACTTAATCCTGCTCACTGTCAGAGAGCTCTGCCCAGAGCAGCTGTGGCTGTCCCTGGATCCCTGGCAGTGTCCAAGACCAGGTTGGATGGAGCTTGGAGCACCCTGGGAGAGTGGAAGGTGTCCCTGCCCATGGAAGGGGGTGGCACAGGATGAGCTTTGAGGTCCTTTTCAATCCAAAGCCATTCCCCCTTCCATCATGCACAGGCTGTTTCCTGGTGAGAGGCACCTTGTCCTGGGGCTAATTCAGACCTAATCACTAAACATTCTGTGTCTCCACACAATGACAGCAAGAGAATCCAGGCTACACACTCAGGAAAAACCTTTAGTGGGAAAAGCAACACCGCACCAGGAGACGATGTTTTAAAAAAATGTCAAACCCACCTTCTCCTCCAGCATCCCTCAGGTGGAGTCAAAAGAGCACCTCTGCTGCCACCCAGCACAGATTTAACCCATCACAATGCAGAAGGTCTGATGGCAAATTGCTTGTCACCTGATTTCAGCCATGTGACAGCAAGTGCTGCACAGGGTAGTGCAGCACTCACCACGCTGCCATTAGCAGCAGCACAGCCCAGCACCAATATCCATCCCGTGTCCTCAGGCAGCACCTCCTCCTGCAAGCACACTGCTAGCATTCCAGCTGACCAGGGCCCTTCAGGCAGGTTGCAAGAAAGCAAATTAACAGGTTGAAACCCTGACAATTTTGTTCTGAAAGAAGGTCGCTGAGGATCTCACAAGTCCCTGACTGGCTGGCTTGCTATCAGCTCAAAGGCATTTCAAGAACATTAGCACTGGTGCCAGAAATATCTGGGCTCATCCCTGCGGCAAAACAGCGGCAGGGGGAGGAGGAGAATGGGATGTAATGGCAGTGTCTGAACAGGCAGAGGGATGGGGGAGCAGAGATGTTTGGGGGGTGATTTTTTTGGGGTGCCTCCACCACTGGGAGGAGTAAACAAAAGAGGTTTAAAGTCTGCTGTCAGCCAGAACTAACTCCGTCGCCATGACAACCCAGTGGTTCATAGCTGGACTCTTAGAGGTCTTTCCCCAATGATTCCACATTTACCTCTGGCAATAGATCTCAGCACACAGCGGCAAAGCCAACTCAAAAGAAACCACCAGCACACCCAGTCCCCTACAAAAGGCACTACAAAAGTACTTGCTGACATCATGCCCAGCTCACCAGTGGTTTTCCTCTGCTGGAAATTTTGTTTGCCGTCTCCAGTCTCAGCTTACGGTCTTTTCAAAATGAGGGGCTTTGGGGTTTTACCAGTGAAATCATTGCTGTGGAACAAAATTCAGTAATCAGAACAACATTCAGCAATCAGAACAACAGTCAGCAATTGTAACAAGAACCATACCTGCAAGCTTCACTACAAATCCAGCTCCAGATGGACCTGGAATAAGATCTCTCACAACCCTCTTTCACAGCATTCACCATTTTATTTTTGGGTTTGATGTCTAAATTAAGTGTTTAGAGGCCTCCATGCTGAGTTCTGGGGCTTTTTCCCCCAAAGCTCTCCTGGCTGACATACCCTTGGGTTGAGGTGGATGCTCTGCTCCTGGTCCCTGTGAGCACAGACCAGCTCCAACTGCTCTTGTCAAGCACAGCAGCATTTCTGGGCATGGGGGCAAATGGGTTTGAGCTGAAGGAGGGCAAATATTAGATGGGATATTGGGAAGAAATCCTTCCCTGTGAGGGTGGGGAGGCCCTGCAGGGTGCACAGAGAAGCTGTGGCCACCCTGGATCCCTGCAAGTGTCCAAGGCCAGGTTGGACACTGGGGCTTGGAGCCACCTGGGAATAGCAGAAGGTGTCCCTGTCTATGGCAGGGGGTGGGACGAGATGAGCTTTGAGGTCCCTTCCAACCAAACAATTCTGTGATCTGACCCCTAAAATTCACACCTCCAGACCTCTGTTCTGTTGGGCAAAGGCCCCCTGGGACAGATGCAGATCCTGGGAAGCAGCTTCTGGTCGTTGCTGCCCTCACTGCGCACACAGAGCTGCAGATTGTGCAATAGCTCTGAGAAGCCACCCAGGCCCTGTGGAGCCGGTGCCAGGCTGAATGCATTAGCTGTGCTAGGAACAAATGAATGAAGCAAAGCCAGTTTTGTTTAGTGCTGGGGGCAGAGGAGCGAGGCGCGGAGCGGCAGAGAGGCGGAGCGCAGTGACACCGCTGTCCCGAGTGTGACAGCCCAGCCTGGATGCAGCCACACACGACCCAGAGGTGCCCAGATCCAGACCTGGAGGCTGTGGCTGCTGGAGCAGTGTTTATTTTAGCCCTGCTTCCCTCGTGCGTGTTCCCAGCAGGAGGGGATGTAAACTGGCTCAGCCATGCCTGCCCAGCCCTCCATCCTCTGCCATGTGCCAAAACTCTTCTGCTCACACTCTGCGAGGTCACATTTCTTGGCAGAGAGCTCGGCTCCTTCTCCCCTCTCCCTTCCCCCATGCTCCTGGTGAAATATGAAAACAGCCTGCCACCTGCCATTTGCCTGGCCTGCTTCTCTCTGTGTGCCAAAAATTAGCAACATACCCCAAAATGTAATTGGAAACACTGCACTGCACTGCAGGGGTCCCATTGCTGTTGCACAGAAGAGGCTTGACAAAATGCCAATTTAATTTCTAGATTCCCCGGGCTGCATGTAGCCGCTAAGTGAGGAGGTAAAAAAAAAAAAAAAAAAAAAAAAAAAACAAAAACCAAAAAAAAACCCTTTTATCAGGCCAATTCCTATTAGTAGATTCAGATCTTTTAACGAGCCATGCTGTAGGAATCAGCAAGCTGTCACTGCCAGCAGATTTAGGGCATCATTTCTTGGAATTGGAGCCGTGTGGGAGGTCAGGAGTTAGAAGTCGGCATTCCCAAACTTCAGAGCCGGGAGCTGGGGTGTGCAGGGCAGAGCTGAGGGGGGCAGAGGATTCCTGAGGGCTGACATTAACCCCGGGAAGGAAACTGCCCTGCTCCCCCTCCTCCCCAGCAGAACTTGCGCAAATCCCAGAGGATCCTTGCAGGAGGGATCTGGAGATGCTCCCGCACCTCCACGCTCAGGGCAGCTCTGACAGCGGAGCACAGCACCACTGATGCTGCCCAGGCTGCAGGCCAGCCCTGCAGAGCTAGCAGTTATCTCCTTTTCGCAGCAAAAGGGCAGGACAGGCGAGCAAGAAAATATAGGGCACCTCATTCACACCACGCCTTGGCAGAGAGCTCAGCCAGCAGATCTGTGAAACTGAAAAGCAACATTTCACCCCAAAAGAGCTGTTTACATTGTCAGGGTTGACTTGCCAGGCTTAGGAAAGAGCTGTGCCAAACTGGCTTATTATTATCTCCCTTCCCCAAAATACTCAGGACCTGCTCCTTTACGGGATGTCTGTATCTATGGAGCTGTGCTAAAATCCATGTGCCTCGGGGGCACCTGTGCACACAGACACAGGGAACTCAGCCACTCTGACAGCAATAAAGATGGATTTTGGGAGGGAGTTGTTCCCTGGAAGGGTGGGCAGGCCCTGGCACAAGGTGCCCAGAGAAGCTGTGGCTGACCCTGGATCCCTGGAAGTGTCCAAGGCCAGGCTTGGAGCAGCCTGGGACAGTGGAAGGCATCCCTGCCCATGTCAGGGGATGGGATGGATGAGCTTTAGGGTCCCTTTCAACCCAAACCACTCTGGGATTCTGTGAAATTACTTGCCAGGCTGGAGCCTCACTGACCTCAGGTTTCCCCTGGAATTTTGCTCCCACTTCGACCTTACACCAAGGCTGTACAGCACACTCAGGAGATCCAAACAGGAACAATCCTTCCATCTGCTCTTAGGGAGAAAAGTGCTTAAACCCAAATCACAGCGCTATTAAATACCTCCCCAAATCCTCCCTGGCCAGGTTCCTTGGAGAAGATGCACAGGGATGCTTGGATCAGGCACTCTGGGGACACTCAGGTGTGGCTAAAGGCCCAAACAGGACACTGGGACAATGGAATGCCTCTGGGGATGGGCCCATCTCACAGAATCACAACATCCTGAGTGGAAGGAACCCACCAGGATCATGGAGTCCAAGCCCTGGCCCTGCACAGGGCAGTGCCCAGAATCCCACCCTGTGCCTGAGAATGCTGTGTTTGGGACTGGGACTGGGATTCCCAAACACCATCATGGATCTGCTGCGTGTGACTTATGGGCTGCCTTAATTTCAGCCTCAGAAAAGCAAGGCAAGAGGGAGCCCTGAGGAAACTCCACATTCCTTTTCATCAGGCTGATTACTGAATAGGCTTTCATAGATCAGGGAATGAAGAATTTGGTTAAGTCTAAATAACTGCTTTGAAATTCTTCAAAATTAGATTATTTTATTTGTCTATAGCAAGCATGCTATGGAATACTAGGGAGATGACCCCATGTTTCCAAAAATTAAAACAAAAAAAAAGTCATCACAAAATCCACAGCTGCTCCCCATTTGCAATAAGCTGTTTAAAACAAAATAAACCAATACATTTTGCTCCAAGAAACATGCATTAGGCACTGGCAGCTTGCTTCCCTCATTCCTCTATCCCCAAACACTTTGAATGGAAGGAGGGGGAAACCTTGAAGTGATACATATGTGAGAAGCCCTGAGAACAATAGCTGCTCCCCAGTTGACTCCAGAGTTGTTATTAAACTCGAGGTTCCCGTGCTAGAGGAGCACAGCTGGAGCAGCACCAGCACCAGGCTCTGAGAACACCAGCAAAAGTCAGATTTCCACCTACAAATTCCTGGAAGTTTGCAGCCCAAAGAGCAAAACACACAGATTCATGTGGGCAGGCTCAGAAGGATGGCATCCTGGAAACCTCCCCTCCAAGAGCAAAATATCAGCATGCTAATCCTCAGATCAGGAGGGGCAGGATCCTGCTTGGAGCCCAAGGTCACCACTGTGTTTTTAAATTGAATTTTACTCACAAAGAGGTGCAGTCAGTACAAAGAGGCTGCAGGAGGTTTGTCACACCACGATGTCTGGACATGGCAGCTCAGTCCCTGGATGTGTCAAGGCGGGGAGAAGAAGCTGAGTGCTGCTCTTTGCAACCAGCTCACAGATCTTGTTCGTCATGAAAATGAGGGGAAGACTTGGAGGGTGCATAGTGCACTGGGGGTGGCTCTGAGGATCCCTTTTTCTAGGCTTTGGGAGAAGAAGCTTCTCTTGACACCCACAGCTGCAAGTGTGTGCAGCTGCTCCCTCTGATTCCCCAGACATGGAGCTGGCCCGTGGGAGATAATGCCATGAAAGTTTTCCCAGAGTTTAAAAGCTCAGAGATGCCTCTGAAGCACTGCCTTCAAATGGAGCCTTCACCAGGGGACACCTTGAGGAAGAATGAGCAGCCCAGTCCACTGTCCAAGAGAGCCTCACCCTGGGCAAAAAACAGAGATGAGGAAAGAGCTGAGGGAGGACAAAACCACTCTGTTCAAAATCAGATCTTCAGGCATCAAGGACTCAGAAAAGCAGGTGAAGGAAGGTTTCAAAGGCTGCCAGAGACACTTGTACCCCCCAGCAGGCTTCTGTGCCCACACTAATCTCCTTTCTGCAGGGGACACACAAAGGGGACGTTTCACGGCATTCACAGCAGACCTTACCTGAGTTATGTATCAAATACCTCTCCACTGCTCCTGGATCCCAGTCCCTGATTCCCAGAGACCCCTGATAAACTCCCAGCCCTGCATTAACGATCCAAGCTCAGCAGCAGGATCTCTCCATCCAACACAGCAATGCCCCCACTTCAAGATTTCCCTGAAGGCACATTGCTGTGAGTCACCTCTTCTCCAACCTGATGTTCCCAGAAAGGTTGGGGAAGGGACCTTAACATTCCAGCCCCCTGCCATGGGGTGGGACACCTCCCACTATTCCAGGTTGTTCCAAACCCCATCCATCCTGGCCTTGGACACTTCCAGGACCGGAGACTTCCCAGAAAGTTTCAAATGTAAGGAACATCCGGGTTCTCCACTGAGTGCCGGGATGCTAACAAAGCTGTCCAGGAAACTTTTCATCCCAGCTGGTCTGGATTTGGGTCCTTTGCTGGTCCAGTCTGGCCTGTGAAACAGAGAGACCCAGGCTTGGCATCTGCCACTCTGCTGTTTGTCACGGGCAAGTGGAAGCATTTGGAATTTAGAGTGGGGATAAAATGATCCCTCAGCATTCCTGCACAATGACAAAGTTGAGCTCTGCCCCCTCCCTCTCCACAGGCTCTCAGAGCCCGTGGTTTGCAAACCGCCTGGTGACAACACTGCTGTGTAACATACAGGGTATTATGAGTCAATTAAGAATTTATTAAGAGAGGGTCCACAGGAGGTACTGACCTGGATCCAGCTGTTGCACTCTTCTGGGGGAAGAAGTCAACTGGAGCTTTCAGATCTTCCACAGAGAGACCAGGAGCAAACACTCCAATCAAACAGGAGGACTTGTTGTCGCACAAAACCCCTCTCCCTTCCAGCTGTGCTCCAGCCCCTCAAGTGCATCCCATCCTTTGCTGCTAAGCACATCCCGTACACAAAAGCTCATTGCAGTCCGTGATCATTCTAAAGGGGTCACCCAAGACCTGAACTGGCTGAAGCCAAGGTGTGAACAATAGAAATCAGCTGCCAGGACCAGACTCTAAATCATCTGAGACCTCTGATGGAGCCCAAACGGGAAAATCTTTTGAGTTTTGCTGCTTGGGTTGAATCAAAAACATTTAAAGTGGCAAATGCAACATCTGCAGGGAGCTTCCCTGCAGAGGTTGCCCAGAGCAGCTCTGGCTGCCCCTGGATCCCTGGCAGTGTCCAAGGCCGGGTTGGACAGTGGGGTTTGAAGGAGCCTGGGACAGTGGAAGGTGTTCCTGCCCATGGCAGAGATTGGCACAGGATGAGCTTTGAGGTTCCTTCCAACCCAAACCATTCTGTGATTCTCTCATTTGGGTGGGATTTGATTCTGGACAAGGTCTGCAGGCAATGCTCCTCTTCTTCCCACTGCCCTCACTCCTGCAGCTAAGCTCTGACATCTGGAGAGGACTCTGTGCCTTCCCTGATGGCTGTGCAACATGTGGCACAGGACTTTCCCTGAGCTGGACAACCTTCCACTTGGAACTGTTCTGGAGACCCTGGAGCAGGGTGATGCTTCTGCTAATGGAGAAGGTGACCTTGAGAGGCTCAGAGCTGACTTTAGGTACCACAGGTACCTGTGGTCCTGCCACCCTAACCCTGCCGGAAGGCAAAAATCCCAGGAGCTCTGCTTCCGGTGAGAGCAAGAACCTTTTCATCCGGCATCCCAGCAAAGCTGCTTTCACAGGAAGCCTTGCCAGGCCTTCTGCAACATTTCCTCCAGCCAGGCCTGTCCCCTGCCTTCCCCAGGAAGGAACATTTTGTTCGAAGACAGCTAATGACCCATTTACATTTGCCTATAAAACGATGTTTGTCCCTCCCCTCCCGCCTCTCAGCTGCTGCTGCTGGCCTGCAGATCCTGTCAGGGCTAATTACGTTGGCTTTTCTGTGGAGGGAGTTTTCCCTCTTGCCATGTGTTTTCTGTTCAGGGCATAGCACAGTTTCAACAGGTTTTTGAAGCTGTTGTTGTTGTTGTTCCTGACAAGAGCTGCAGTTATGAAACGCATCCTCACGGCCCCGCCGAGGCCCCAGCCAAGGCAGAACCAGCTCCCTCTGACGCAGGAGCAAATTGAGACCATTTGGTACTGGGGGGCACTGGACATCTTATTCCATCTGCAAGGGAGCTGCGAGAAGGGCTGAGCTTCTCTTCCCTCCCCTCCCTTTCAGTACACTCATTTATCCCTGCCGAAATGCACTGTTTCCCTTCCAGTCTCCCATCTTCCCTAATTCTATCCACATGCCGTCAGGGCAGACATGGAAAACCACCTGCCCATTTCTCTCAGCAGATACCTGGGACAATCCCTGAGCCCTGGGGACACGACGCTGTCCCTCGCACCCTTTTGCCGGGGTTGAAGCTCTCGGTACGGCAGAGCAGCCCCAGGCCAAGCCCGGCAGGGAGCTGGAGAAGGATCCCAGGAGGTGCTGCAGGAGCCGAGCTCTGCAGGAGAGCAGCCCGGGCAGGAGCTGGGCCCTGCCAGCGGGGCCTCCTCCCCACGCTGAGGGGCCCGGCCGCGGCTGCTGCGGGCTGGCCGGGCACTCCCTTCTCCCCCAGGCCGCTCCCCGAGGTGGCAGCAGCTCGTTTGTCAGGAGAGGGGCCGGCAGCAGCCGGGGAGGTGGCAGAGCAGGAGCACAGCTGTGCTCTGGCAGCCTCACACCACGCAGCCCCACGGGCCCAGCGCCATGGAGGCCGCGCGGGACATCCGCTGGGGCGGGCAGGCAGAGCGCCCCTGACAGAAGGGGACACAAGGGACACAAGGGACACAAGGGACGCTCTGGGTGGAGCACGGTGCCAGCACAAAGCACCCCACAGGCTGCAGAAGGTGACAGGGTCAATCAGCAGTTTCCTCGCTACCCTGGCACAAGGGATGGCAGCACAGCCTCCCCTCCGCTCCCTGCCGTTTAGGGCACCTCAGGGCATCGCCTCCCCGAAGAGAGGCTGCTCCCTTGGGATCCCCTCCCAGCCGCTTGGATCACAGTGGCCTTGTGCAGCCCTCAGCGCTGCAGAGCTCAGAGCTGCTGCTGGAGACCCGGACACCACGGACTGACCCCGAGGAGCCCTTGCAGCCCACAGGGGTGCAGGCACTGGTGTGTTAGAGGAGACCCTGTTTTACCACTCAGGGAGTGGTAGCAGCAGCACCTTCACACCTCTTGGCCTTGCCTGGAGACACCAGTGCAAAGGCTGGATTATAAATCATTTTCACGTGTTAATCCAGTTGGTTTTGCCAGGGAAGAAGGAAAATAAGGGAGTACATGTATCATATCTTTGAACACTGCATAATGACTTCAGATTAAAAGGAAGTAACTTAAATTGGATTTTGGGAAGAAATTGTCCCGTGTGAGGGTGGTAAGTTACTGGCACTGCCCAGAGCAGCTGTGGCTGCCCCTGGATCCCTGAAAGTGTCCAAGGCCAGGTTGGACACTGGGGCTTGGGATAGTGAAAGTTGTCCCTGCCCATGGCAGGGGGTGGAATGAGATGGACTTTGAAGTCCCTCCCAACCCAAACCATTCAGAGGTTCTTTGTTTCTATGACAAAAGAGATCCAGGAGCCCTCCCCTTTCAGGCAGGGTCTGGATCTGCCTGTCCCTGCCTCCTGCCACGGGTGGGAGCAGCTTTCCCTGGACAAAGTTCTCCAAGGATGCCCACTAGCACAGCTGCCCTGCTCTCCCTCAGCCGGGAAGCCAGACTGGCATTTCAGTGGAAGGCTCATTAAGGAGGAGGCAGAGTTAAGTGACAAAGCAATCAGGCTTATCAAGGTCCAGCTCGGGCTTTGGGAGGAAATGCAGCCGCCAGAGCACATGCCAGTATTGTTAATGCCTTTTGGGGCTGCATCTGAGACTGGGTTTGTTTTGGCAGCTGCAAAGCCTGATATAAAAACATGTCCTTGCTGCACAGACCAGCTGAGAGAGCCAAGGCTGCTGAGCAGGGCAGCACAGGGATGCTCCAGCAGCAGAACCTGAGCCTCACCTGGCAGGAATCCACCTGGCTCCAGCCAATCCATTCACACCAACAGAGCAGCTGGACTTTGTTTGTTTGTTTGATTGTTTGTCATCTCCTTGGGGCTTCTCCTGCTGAATCTCCAGAATGGTGGGGGTTAGATGCCACAGTGCCACATGGCTGTCATCAGACCATGTCCTGCAGCAGTTCAGCAAGTCGTGACTTGGCTGAAGGCTCTCCTGAAGCCAAACCTTCCTTATAGCTTCAGGATGGCTTCCTCAGCTTGGATACCCGCAAAACTCAGGAGGGGTCAGGCAGTTCAAACAGTTCCAAGAGCAGAAACTGGGAAATGAGAGGTCTCTGTCAATAACAATGCCAGCGGGTTTCCCCCCCCCTCTCCTGGCACTTCTTCTGCAAAAAACATGGGTTTAGAGGGCTAAAACCAGAACTAAGGGAGTCTCTCTCCTGGTTCATGGGCAGTGGGTGACAGTGACTCCTTGATTAGTCAGTACAATGAGGGATTTGGGTTGATAACCAAACCTGAAGCACATTTGCACCCTGCAGGCCAGAGAGGGACGGCTACAGCTCATGTCAGCAATGGCATCCCAAAGGTGTCATCCTCAGCAGGATAATGGATCACAGGATGCTTTGCATTGGAAGGCACCTGAACCTTCTCTGATGCCACTTGAGGTCATTCCCCCTCCTCCCGTCCCTGTTCCCTGGGAGCACAGCCTGACCCCCCTGGCTGTCCCCTCCTGTCAGGAGCTGTGCAGAGCCACAAGGGCCCCCCTGAGCCTCCTTTTCTCCAGGCTGAGCCCCTTCCCAGCCGCTCCCCATCAGCTTTGAGCATCTCGAGATTTCTTATTTCAGCAGCGGAGCTGAGATCGCACCCACCGTGCTGCCATTGGTCGCTCTCTCCGGCTCCCCCCACTTTTCCTCCTGCCGCCCCCACTTCATTCCACATTTTTCACATTTCTGGGGATTGTTTTTCACCTCCCAGCGCTTTCTGGAGTGCGCCCAACAGAAATAAACGCAGCCTGACCATCGCTGGTGGGGCGAGGGGCAGGGGGTTACACTTTTGGTAAATTTAGCCCCTCACTGACAGATTTATCTTCCTGAATCAGAACCAAGGGTAGTTAGCGAGGTTTGTTTTTGTAGACTGAACTTCCCCAAAGTCAGCGCGCACTCACCTCCTCCTCCTTCTCTCCCTCTCTCCCTCCCTCCCCAATTACATAAATGCTTTTAGTTAAGAGCTGATTTCCTGGAGTGTGTGCCAGTGCTCTCTCCAAGCAAACAAAGCAAAGACGACACTGAAAAGAGCCCGCGTTTGTCATTGAAAAGGAAGGTTATCCTCACAAAAGGTGAGGAATGAGGTGTCAAAGGTCTCTTCCCCGTTTCTCCTCCTTCATTTGCGCACGGGAGATAAAGCACAGCCGGGGAGCACCTTCCCAGCCCGGAAACTCGGGTTTGCCCCCGCAGACCGAGGTTTGGCCAGAAACAAACACACCTCTCATTCGGCAGGGGAGCCGGCAGATCCATCAGCGCTTCCCTTCCATCGCGGCTGCCCGCTCCCGTCCTTTCCTCACCCCGCGTTCCCAGGCTGGCACCAAAGCATCCCGTCCTGCCGCAGCTCAGACCAGGGCTAAGCCGGCTTTGCCTCCACCGTCCTGTCCCGGGAACAGTTCGGAGGATGTGTGGTTGAAGAGGCTTTGTGGGCATCTTCCCTGGCGGGGCTCCTCCTCTGCATCTCTCCACGGTCTTGCTTTAACATTCCCCTTTCCTTTTCCTTGCCACCACGCCACTAATTAAGAACATCCCCAGCACGTGCCAGCATGGAATGTGTTGTAATGACCATTTATTTTCTTCTGTTTCAGCTTAAACAATTGCTTTTACTGAGCTCAGATGTTTTGCCAGCAATTAGGAGCCACGATGGGTTTTGGGAAGAAATTCCTCCCTTGAGTGTGGGCAGGCCCTGGAACAGGGTGCCCAGAGAAGCTGTGGCTGCCCCTGGATCCCTGAAAGTGTCCAAGGCCAGGCTGGACATTTGGGCTTGGAGCACCTTGGGACAGTGGAAGATGTCCCTGCCCATGGCAAGGGTGGAATGAGATGAGCTTTAAGGTCCTTCCCAATGCAAACCATTCAGAGGTTCTTTGTTTCTATGACAAAGGAGATCCAGGAGCCCTCCCTTTTCAGGCAGGGTCTGGATCCGCCTGTCCCTGCCTCCTGCCATGGATAGGAGCAGCTTTCCTTGGACTAAGCTCTCAAAGGATGTCCACTCTCAGCCCCAGCAGCCCGGGAGAAGCCGACACATCCCATGGCACAGACAAATTTCAGCGGAGTTGGGTTTTCATCATAATCCCATTAACACTTTTCCCCCACTGGTGCAATAAGGATGAATCCTTCTGTTCCCTGGTCAGAAGTCAGCCCTGAGGCATTGCTGAAGTACCGCGAGCTGAGCTGGGCAGAAAGGAGAGAAATTCCCTCTGCTAAGAGAAATTGCAGGAGAGGGAGGCAGCAAGGCAGAGGGGAGAGGTGCACTGACACATTTTGTGGATTAGCACAGGCTGAGATGGAGTCCCGACCCCGACACATCCCTGATCCACTTCTCCCCCACCTGGACACAGGTGCTGTTGTCTAGAGGGTGACCTGGGAAAATAAATTTCAGTTTCCTTTTTTTTGTTTTTTTTTTTTTTTTTCCTTTTCCTTCAGATGAAAATTCCCCTCATTTCCCCTCAAAAGCGAGCACACGTGGAACTATTTTTACCCAGGTTTATTTTTAGCTCCTCTTGCCTGCGTTGCCTCTCACATGGCTGCACGGGGAAGGATGGCAGCGGCTGCAAGGACACGTTCTCCCCCTACAGCACAGCAGGGCTGGGGGCAAACACGCCGGCAGTAATTACAGCACAGCCTCGTTAATCAACCACTGCTCCCAGCCTCGCTCAGAGTGCAGCAAGCTCGATCCCGTCCAACACTGCTGCCCACGCTGCCCCCATTGCAGGGATATCCCCTCCCAAACGTCCCCATCCCGCTGGTGCTGCCCCAGGGGACCCAGTCCCTCCTGTTCCTCTCTCTGCTGGAGTCACAGCTCGGCCACAGGAAGGCAATCGGGGGCTGGAGCAAGCCCTGGGAGCCGGCTGGGAGCCAAACCCTGGACAGCCACCAGCAGGGCAGGAATTGGGGCACTGCGTGGCCCCTCTGGGACAGGGTTTTCTGTGCCTGGCCCTGCCTTCAGAGGAAAGCCTGGCAAGCAGGCAACTGGGAAAAGGGGGTTGGGATGCTCTGGGTGCTGGCCGAGAGGAGGCTGCAGGACATTGGACGTGTTTGGTTGGGATCAGCAACATACAAAGGCGTGGTTTCCACTCTTTAGGGGAATTCACACAGCCGGAACCTCCTCGGTGGTTTTTCCCAGAGGGGAATCCCTGCTGCCAGCAGCAGACTAACCTGCCCCACCGCCTGTGTGCCCCACCCAGCAGCAGCTGAGCTGGGACAGCCCTGCCACTGCGGGCATGGAGAGCACGGGAGGCTGGATCCTGCTCAGGAGACTCTCGTGTCCCACTGCTTCCTCTCTCTCACCCTGCCACCAGCTTCCAGAACATCTTCCCAAGACCTCTGCTGACTTCCAGAAGGGAAAGCACAGCCTCTCCATGGCACCAGCCCTCTCCATCCTGGATCACAGTGTGCCACGGTGCCCACAGTGTTGTGCTGCCTGTGCCAGGCTGCAGCAGGCACTGGCAGGTCCTCCGTTACCATGGCAATGCTGCCAAGGTTCACATCTTTTCCTGAATCCTGATTTATCCTGCTGCTTTATTTCCCCCCACTCTCCACACCTCAGGAAGGGTCAGGATGCAGCTCTGCCGTCAGGGCTGTGGTCACATTGCATTAAGTCCTTGCTCAGGAGTAGCAGCCTTGGATCTCCTATCAGCACAGAGGGAAACTGGGGAGCAGATGCTGATAAATCCTCTGCTGTCTCTTCTCATTAGACTTAGTCACAGGGAAAAACCCAGAAGGCCTGAAACGTTTTTGTTAAGTGACAGGGATTTTTTTCCTGGTCATTATTTTAAAAGAAAAGCTCCCCGTGCAGAGGGGACAGCTGTGGATGCAGATCCTTGTCAGTGCTGGTGGCCTCACACACATGGCCTTGCCCTGGGCATCCAGCCCATCCCAGTGTCCAGCACCAGCCACCTGGGCAAGCGGGAACCTTCCCTGGAACATCTCCCTGGGGCCACGCTCCCTCTCCAGCCATGTGCTGTTCCATGGAATCACAGATCATTAGGGCTGCAGGAGACCTCCAAGATCCTTGAGCCCAACTCCAGCACCAGCAAGGCCACCTCCAAACCGTGTCCCCAAGTGCCACATCTACACATCTTTTAAACATTTCTAGGGATGGGGACTCCACCATGGCTCTGGCCAGCCTGATCCAGTGCCTGACCACCCTTTTGGTGAAGGAATTTTTCCCTCATTTCCAATCTAAACCTCGCCTGGCACAGCTTGAGGCTGTTGTCTCTCCTCCTGTCCCTGTTCCCTCGAGCAGAGTCTGACACCCCTCCAGCTGCCCCCTCCTGTCAGGAGTTGTGGAGAGCCAGAAGGTCCCCCCTGAGCCTCCTTTTCTCCTGGTGGCCTCCATCCAGCTTCTCCATAGCAACATCATGACATTCAATATAGATCCCAAAACCGCCTTTGCTAAAATGCCACCTCTCCCTACCCCAGAGAAGCATTTTCAGGGACAATCCTAGCTTGATCCCAGCCCATAGGGTTCATCATGCAATGACAGCAGCTCACCTTTAGCTGGTATTTCCAGGCTCTTTCCTACACTGACCTTGTCCCTTGTGCACCTGACTCCTTTTAGCTTGAGGTGTGATAGGACAGGAAAGAGAGACCTAAAGGAGCTCCAGGAGAGCTGGAGAGGGACTTTGGACAAGGGCCTGGAGTGACAGGACAAGGGGGAATGGCCTCCCACTGCCAGAGGGCAGGGATAGATGTGATATTGGGAAGGAATTCCTCCCTGAACTAAACAGAGAGCTCAGTCACTTGGAGTGATCCCTTATCCAAGCACTGAACCCCTTGGAAGAGAGGAGCTGGGGCTTGGATTGCCATCCTGCCCTGCCTGGGGTTTTTCTCCTCACTATCCTTGATTTACAGGAGTGGCACTTTGGCTGAGGATGCTGATGAGCTGATGTTGGGACACGGTTCCAGGAAAGGCAAATCCATTTATCAAAGTGCTTACGGCTCCCAGTTCAAGATGGGTGAAGCACCAATAAATATCAAACAAAGCAAGGGACTCAGACTCCAAAGTAGCTTCATAAATAAAAGGCTATTAAAAAAATATATATATCTGCAGATGCTGGTGCCAACCTCCCCAGAGTCCCAGCCCAGGTCTGAATCACAGCTGAAAGGGCCTGGCTGCGTCCTCCTGAGCTGACATCCCAGAGGAGAAAGGTCCAAGGCACATGGCAGCTGCACAGACGCAGGTCAATGGGAAGGGAAGTGCTGTCTGGCAAAGGAACGAGCTGCTAATTTATTGAAATGCTTTGGAAAATAATTGCATTTGGAAGCCTTCAGCTGTCCTGGGTTTGTGCCTTCATGCAGGACTGGAATTTCAAGAGAAGGGACTTAAAATGGAGTGGAAAAGCAAAGAGAGCTTTGAGGCTGGAGCAGGAGAGCACTCGATCAAACGTCAAACGAAGTGTAATTCCCAGCTCCCACCCTGCACAGGTGAAGCTTTGTGGCTCCTGTGGACAAGCAGCTAGGGAACAAATCAGCCCTGTTTGTTTTCACCAAGGTAAGAAACACCTCCAAACCTGGAAGCACCTCTTGCTCCTTCAGACAATTCCAGGGATGGGGAACAGATCCAGCATGAAGAAACACAAAGGGCAGAGAGCAGCCCCGGGAAGGGCTGAGGAGGGAATGAGCACAGAACGAGCACAATTCCAGCCCCACCACTCCCAGACCCTGCTCTGCCAGGGCTTCCCAGGCACTTTCACAGCCCTTGCACTGAGGCAAGGGCAGAGGATGGATGGGGTCACTGCTCCAGCAGCACAAAGAGGGGTTCAGAGCTCTTCCCACTGGAGCTGGCTGGCTTCCCTCCCTGCTCCCAGGGTCTGCTGACTGCCACCATCACCACCTTCCTCTTGGGCCATCTCCTGGAGGAAGGGTGTCACACAAAGCAAGAGCAATGGCCCTGCCTTAGAGGGCTCCTCTGAAAATCAGCACATTGAGGGAAAAGCCTCCTTGGGGTCCTCTGGTGCCATGCTTGTTCTGAGACAGAGCTCGTATTCAGGCTCTGCAAACAACGGGCCATTCAGAGGCAATGAAGGGACAGTAAATCCAGAAGTGATGGACAAAAAAAGAGCATCTTTTCACACAATTTGCCTCGAGGAAGTCCGTGTCATATGACGTGGCCAAGGGCAGAGACTTGTGGGATCAAACAACTGCTGAGCCAGCCCTGGGTATTGCTATTGTTCAAACAAAAAAATAAATTATGTTAAAGATGAGGAAAACTCCCTGGGTGTAAGCAGCAGAAATCACTCAGGCTGCTGAAGGACAGAAGACTTCCTAAGGACAGAACACCTTTGCTGGGAACAGGTCCTTGGGAGATGCCTGGATGAAGGTTGCAGGACACCCTGCAGCTTTCCCTGAGGTTCCTGGCAGCAGCTGCTGAGCCAATAAAACCCCTTTGCTACCCACAGTGGCAAACAGCCCTCTCATCACAAGGATTCACTCCTTCCAGCCACTCCTGGGAGATTTTCCTTGCACCTGGCTTGACCCTCCTCTTCATCTCTGCACCTCCCATGCAAGGAGCTGCATCCACTGCTCAGACTATGGAATATGGGTTGAGTTGGAAGGGACCTTAAAACTCACCTCATCCCACCCCCTGCAATAGGCAGGAACACCCTCCACTGTCCTGGCATGCTCCAAGCCCTGTCCAACCTGCCCTGGACACTTCCAGGGATGGAGATTCCACAACCTCTCTGTGCATGGAGACTTGCCCTGGGAACTTGGAATAAAGCAGGTTGCTTCCCTTCTCAACTGCAGAGGGAGGGAAAGGTTTAGAGAAGAGGAATAGCTGCTACAGTAAAACATTACTTCCAAAATATGCCAGCAAAAAATATGCCAACAAAAGCCTACAAACACCTTCAATTATTGAAGTTTCTCTATCAGCACTCAGAGCATGTTAATTCTCCCCTTGGGTACTGGTGATGCAGATGCAAGAGCACAGCCTGGGAAGGATTTGGGATGCTGTTGGAGCTTTCCTTGCTGGATTGAGCCATCCCAGCACATTCCCAGGCTGAGGCTTTCCAAGCTGCAGAGATGGGGAAGAGAGTGAGAAGGTCACATAACCCAACCCTGCAGCTCAGGTTTTTTGGTGTTTTGGTTTTTTAAGCTGGTGAGATAAATGCTTTCAGAAGACACTTTAAAGCCATGGCTGCTCTCTCCAGGGAACTATCAGGCTGATTTCCTTTGGCCAGAGCACGGTCCCAGGGTCAGGCTGTCAGCTCTTATTAAGATTTGGATGTGGTCACTGAATGGAAAGCACTTGGTTCTATTGCTGCTCATTAGATCACTTTATGATAAATCTAATCATCAGCCTACTCCACTTGGCCCAGCTCAAGGTGATAAGGCTGGTGCTGCAGCCATCCCAGGGGGATCCAGACCAAATGGCTTTCCCAGGAAGGACAGCTCCATCATAGCCCTGCCAGGTCTTCCTGCTCCCATGTCCCAGTGGGATGCGCCTGCCCCAGATTAGCACCTAGGAGGATGGGTTTGGGTAATTAAGGGTAATTAAAGCTCGGTCATGTGTCACTGCTTCACATCTCCTCCTGCAGCCCCAGCAGGGCACGAGGCTGAGCTCCAGCACTGCTCCATGGGCATCACTGGGAACAGAGGTGAAAGCTTCCCCCGTTTTTTTAAGGCTCGTCCATGGATCAAGCTCCTTGTGACTCCTCCATGCCATATCCAGGGGTTGGAACCCCAGTGCAGGTGGTACCCACAGGTGTGACAGAGCTGCTGGGGACCCAGGCTGGGACTGAGCCATCCCAGGGTGCCACAATGGAGTCTGGGCCAGTGGCTTTCTCCCTGGAGATTTGGGCTGAAGGTTTGTTCGCTCCTCATGCTTTAACACATCCAGAGTAATGACTCACACCCCCTATCACCTCTTCATCTACAGAAACAGCGGCTCTTCAAACTCCTGTGACCACCCCCTCTGTGGGCACACGGGTGGGCAGAGAGGTCCAGAGCAGCAACAGTTCCCTCCTCCTCTCCTGAGGGCATCCAAGAGGACAGCCAGTCCTTCCCCAGGGCACAGGAGCATTCTGAGACCTCTGATGGTGGCAGGCATGGCAGCGGTGCCACAGCTCCCCAGCCCTCGGCTCCCGTGGAATGCTTCCCATCTTCCTCTGGCTTCATGAGCTCATAAATTCACCAAAGGCAGTTAAGCTGCCCCTGGTTGAGGCATCCCAGAGAAGCTGTTGGAGTCCTTTTGCTCTTCTAGAGCAGGATGGGAAGGGCTTGGCACCATCAGGCCAGGCAGAGCCACTGCCTGGCAATTGCCAGGCCATGACCAGGCCAGCCAGGCCACGGGTGGTGGGAGCCTATGCCACCTTCCCAGGCCTGGGCTGCACAGGCCCATCTCCATGGATCCTGCTAGAGATGGGAGATGGAAAGTAAACACAAACAAGCATATTCTCCAAGGAATTTAGGGAGCAGATCTGTGTTTTGAGCCACTCAGGGGCTCCCCAAAAACCATCAGATCATCAGGTCTTTGCTGAAGGAGGCTGCTGCCTTCTAGAAGCTAAGCAGAATTTTCTCTCCAACAAGCTGGCTGAAGTTTTACGCCCTGGATTAATCTGCCCACAGTACTTTGGGAAGACCTTGGGATGGCAGCATGCATCTACAGCCTTGGGTGCACCAGGATCCATCCCATCAAAGACTCTCCAGGTGGAGCCAGAGGCTTTCCCGGGATGCTGCAGTAGTTTCCCACACCCGGGGCTGCCCCTGGCGGGGTTGATGCCAGTCCCTGGCGGGGTTGATGCCAGCCCCAGCACTCCTGCCTGTGCTGACACGGCAACCCGGCACAGCCGGCCCAGGGCTGGTCCCAAACCACACACGGAGCTGCAGCCACAGACAGCAGGAGCGGCCTCCCCTCCCTCCCAGGCACAAGGGCTGCAAACGCAGTTCAAAGTTCTCCTCAGTACAAAAACGGGTTTTGAGGGTAATTTGTTGCAGCTTGAAAGCAGCTGAAGTTAATTACAGAGCAATGAAATATTGCACTTTAATATTGCTTCATTCCCCTTGGCTGGGCTGTAGTGGAATGCTGCTCCATTCCGAGATCCGGAGCCGAGCGCTCTCATCTCCAGGTAAGGTCCCAGTTAAACCCGGGAGAGGCAGGCTGGGGATGCACCATCCTGTCCCAGTTAAACCCGGGAGAGGCAGGCTGGGGATGCACCATCCTGTCCCAGTTAAACCCGGGAGAGGCAGGCAGGGGTGCACCATCCTGTCCCAGTTAAACCCAGGAGAGGCAGGCTGGGGATGCACCATCCTGTCCCAGTTAAACCCGGGAGAGGCAGGCTGGGGATGCACCACCCTCCGCAGCTCAGCACAACGGGGCCGGAGCACGGGGCCTGGGGGCTCCCAGCAGGCGCGGGGCTGCTCAGTGCATCCCTAACCCAAGCCAGGGCACTCATGCCCCGTTTGAGAGGCAGGCCTGTTCCCCCAGCCATGCCCAGGGCCCCCCCAGCGCCTGGAGCCCTGCTGCTGCCTGGCCCTGGGAAGCCCCTGGCTGCAGGCCAGTACTGCCCAGGTGAGCTCCTGACTCACGCAGCTCCTGAGTGAGAGCTGGAGCGCCGTGGCCAAGGGCGGTGCAGGTGTCTGCATCCTCTGCAGGCCTGGGAAAGGCTGCTGGGAGCACGGGGAGCAGCAGCCTTGTCCTGCCTGGAGCTCAGGCTGCCTCTGTCAGACAGCCAGATGAGCAGGAGTTGTCCTGCTCGCTGCTCACCCCAGAGAAGATGCCAAGTGTCCCCCTTGCCCTCATGCCACTTGGGTGCTTTCTCCTGCTTGGAAATGACACGGAATAAAGCAACAGGGTGGACAAAGCACTTGCAAACAGAACCTGTGTAACCCAGGCAAGGGACAGAGTTGGCCCAAGCATGGCCACAGCCACTACTACACGATAGAGGGCACCTCAAAGCCAGATGGACAGGAATCCCAGTTTCTTAATGTCAGCAGCCAAAATAAGAGTTATAAGCACAAATCTGAGAGCCCTTTTCACACACTGAAGAGCCTCGGCCACCCCAGCCTACCCCACAGAGGCTGCAGCCCCTTTCTCAGTGGCGTCATCCTGCGGGGCCGCTCAGAGGAGCAGGCTGCATTGCCATCTAATGGGATGCGCTGGGAAAGCCCGAGCATCCCCCTGGAAACCAGCGAGACCAGGACCCCGAGGGCTCTGCAGGTGCCTCATGCTCCCTGCACCGGCCGGGCCGAGCCGGTCAGGCCACCCCCGGCTCTGTGACACAAAGCAGCACTGGGGCACAAATCAGAGGGGCCAGGCAGGATTGAGAGAGGGGTTTGTGTGCTCAGAGCTGTGCAGGGAACAAGGCAGCCGCTCGTGTCCCAGTAGTATCACCACCCACATCTGGCTGGGCACACCAGCAGAAGGCTCTATTGGGTCTCAAAGTCATTTTCCCCTTGCTGCCTCCCACAGCTCATAAAAGCTCCTGGCAGCAGAGCCCGTTGAATATCAAGCTCCACGAGGAAGCAGTTGTCCAGTTAAAGCTGCCTCTTTGCCAAAATGCTGCATGCAAGCAGACACGAAAGGGAAAACCAGCTCCACAGGGACACCAGAGATGGATGTGGGATGGAAAGCAGCATGGCTCGGAGAAATGGGTGGTTGTGCCAGCAAAGCCCAGGTACTGAAGCACTGTGCCAAACCCACAGCACTCAACACAGCCTTCCATCCCGCTCCTCTCCATCACCACCAGATGAGCAACACCTTCCACGCAACATCACGGGGGCTGCTGGGAGCAGCAAGGACCCCATCTCCTGAACTATTGCACTGACAGTCTCAAATGCAGCGCCAGGAGGGTCTGCTCACATCCCTGCTCCTGCCTGCAGCACCAGCACCTTCCACAACCCAGCCTGTGACTAGGGAGCAGCAGCTTTGATGCCTCGCTCCTGAGCCCCCACCTCCCTGCAGAGTTCTCTTGGCTCACAACAAACACCTCAGGGAAAAATCAGAGGGGATTGGAGACCCCTCAGAGTCCATCGTGCTTTTGTTTCCTTTCCTCACTGAAGGTACAGTCCCTGCCCATACCAACCTGACTTCCAGGACTGCTTCAGCTGTCACTGAAGGCAATGGGAGCTCGATTTTTCCCCATATCCAAAGATAAAAGTGGAAATTTATTTCATCAAGTACCTCCCTCCTTCAGTCCTGAGTCTCTCCTGTAAGCAGACAAACCAAAACCCAAAAAGCATTAAATGGAGTCCGTGTCCTAATGGCAAATCCCAGCCCAGTTTCTGACACCCTCACCTTTTGTGACAGAAACCAAGCAACCTTGTCTCCCAAAACGCCCAGAGGTGAAGGGAATGGCCCAGGAGCTGCTGTGGACCCTGCACAGGTCATGCCTTGCTGTACCTTAGCACCATTTTGTGTTTTTCTTTTTTGCATGCATCAACTCCTTTTATACACCAGCAACTCTCCTGCGAGCTTTCTATCGAAGCGTTTGGTTCCTCAAAAGGAAATCTGCTTCCACAGTGAGCAGCAACGTTTGGAGGAGCCACCTCCTTGTAGGCAGGAGAGGAAGCAGAAAAGAGCACAGCTGGTTAAATCCCATCCCCTGCTCTGCAGAGGGGCACTGGACCATTGCCCCAAGAGCTGGTTCCCAGCCATGCTCCCTGCTCCAGGAGCAGGTGGAGGAATGAGGAGTGGTGCCTGCCCCTCCCCGAGGGAACCGCAGCGCCCGCCGCGAATTCCAGCCCCGGCTGCCTTTAAAGATGCTCAGCACCAAGCTAATTGAGACAAAGCTTTCTCAGGCACAGAAAATTGAAGTCTCATTTGTAGCTGCAGTTTTCACTTGGGACGGTGGAGAGCACAGCAGGAGTGGTCCCATCAGATAGCAGCAGCCAGGCTGGGCTCCAGCACCTGCGGAGGAATTACACGGCAGCGGGAGGCAACGCGCCGGGCTCTGTCTCGCTGGGAACAAGCATTTGGCAGAAAACAGGGCTTAAAGCTGGGAACCAGAGCAAGTTCCATGGCAGAAAACAGGGCTTAAAGCTGGGAACCAGAGCAAGTTCCATGGCATCCTGCCACCCATGGTGCCAGGTGTAAGAGCTCAGCAGGATCACAGGGAGCGCCGTCATCAGATGGGATCAGTGTCGGCTGACACAGATGGGAGCTCCCAAGGCCAGGCACTCCCAAAGAGCTTTGGCCAGTATCACACAATCATGGAATGGTTTGAGCTGGGAGGCACCTTAAAGCTCTACTCCAATGCACCTGCCATGGGCAGGGACACTTTCCACTAACCCAGGTTCCTCCAAGCCCTGTCCAACCTGGCCTTGGACTCTTCCAGGGATCACCACTGCTGCTCTAGAAAGCATGTGGCAAGGTCTCCCCTCCCTCATGATGTCATCTCCTGTCACCCTCACATCAAATGCAAATCAAGAGAAGGCCACCCCAAGGTGGAGAGCCCCTCCTTTTCCTTGATCTTCAGACCTCCTTTTCCCCCAAGCCCTCCCTGAACACCGATGGCTTCTGGGGTTCTCCATAAACACTCAGCTCACATTAAAGCTGTGCAGACATTTTTGGAAAGCAGCCCATCAGGTAATAATGTGCCATCCCATCTCCCCTCTGCTTTGGTTGCTTCCACTCACTTCTGCACAACTGATTCATTTTGCTTTTGTGAGCAGCACTGGAAGCCAGCTGGCAGTTGTTGCGCACCTAAATTCCACTTGCTCAGCAGGCTCTTCCACAGAAGGGATTCATTCCAACCTTTGTCTGTGGTGGGGGCACACAGAACTGAGGCAGCAAGGCTAATATTGAAACCTCACTGCTACTGTGTTGCCCAGAGAAGCTGTGGCTGCCACAGCTCTGGAAGTGTTCCAGGCCAGGCCAGGCAGAGCTTGGAGCAACCTGGGATAGTGGAAAGTGTCCCTGCCCATGGCAGGGGGTGGGACAGGATGGGCTTTAATGTCCCTTCCAGCCCAATCCCCTTCTGCCATTCTGTCATTAAAACATCAAAGTTTCACTGTGAAGGAGGAAGAAGAAACTTGCTGCGTCTCATAACTGCAGCCCTAGGTTTGATGTCACTGCTGAGGAGCCAATTCCTCATGGAGAGGCTTGGCCATGCACAGGTATCTCCATAGCCTGGATGGTCCTAGGCTGCCCCAGCTGAGGGGGAAACTGTTAACAGACATCCTGGGATAGCACAGACAAGCACAAGTCACTCATCTCCTCTCTCCCATCCTGTGCAAAGTAAAGCCAAGGGGGAGGTTGTTGCTGAACTGGAGCGACCACAGAAAAAGCTGGTGGTTTTGCCCATAAATGTGACCTTCCCCAGAGAATCTGCCCTGGAAAAGCAGGCAGAGCCAAGCACGGTCCAGGACAGGCAAGAGGCAAACCCCAGGCAATGGGAATTTGGGAAAAGAGGACAGACTGCAGATGGTTTCACACATGCCCTTACATAGAAGCATGGAGAGGACTTGAGCTGTATTATTTTCCCTAATCTAACTAGAACAGGAGATGGATTCATCCAACTGGCACAGCACAGCATCCAAAACCCAAATCTTTACAGCTGGTTTGCTAAGAGATTTTTCTTGAGGTGTTGGGAGTGGGAAGGAGGGAAGAGAAAAACACAGCGGAGGGAAGAGAAAAGCTAGCGCTCCTTCCTACAGCAAGGGGAGAGAAAAGTTATTTCCTTCACTTCACAGATTTAGCTTATAAACAGTTTTAAAGCAGAGTTAAAGTCTGAACAAAATTTTAAAAAGTATGCTTGAGATGCATGTTGTCATACCACAGGGCTCACCAGCACTGGTTTTCCTGACTGGAATGAAAGTCTCTTATACCCAAAGCTCAGCCCCGTGTGCTGCTCGAGCAGGTGGGGAAGGCTCCCAAAGCTGCTCTGCACCCCAGTGAGCCCCCACCAGTGTCCCACAGCAGCTTCCCCAGCTCCAGCCACAGCACAAAACCCCCCTCCAGATCTGGCACTGGGCTGCACACACTGCCAAGGGAACTCCAGCACCCAGAGAAGTCGGCAACACCAGGATGGAGGACACGTGTACAAACAGAGCTGCACTCTCCAGAGGAATCCTAACATCACAGCAGGCACTCCTTTCATCCCCACAGCCCTCAGAGCTGGGAGATGGTGCTCTGGGCAGGTGGAGGGAGGCTCACACTGCTCAGGATCTCACTGCCCTGGCTGGGAGTCCTGAGGGATTCAGGCATCCCTTCCCAGAGGACAGATGGATGAGACACAAAACACGGAAGCAAAGCACTACAGGATCAGCAAAAAAAGCCAGTTCTGTCCCAGGACTCCTCCATCCAGTGCCTCACCAGGCCCCCAAGGCTCTCGTGAAAGACTCTTCATACTGGTTTTGATACAGGAAGGGGCACAAGTGAGATTTGGCTGCTTAACTCCAAGGCACTGCCCTAAATTCTGGAATGCCTGGCAGCCGTTTTCCTCAGTGACTGAAGCAGTGAGCCCCGTGCTGGAAATGCAAAATTAACTGCAGCCTAAATCTAAACAGTGGTGCTTGAACCAATGCCAAGATACCTCATTTCTGTGACTAATACTAAATGAATAATTTCTTTTAAAAAAACCCTTCCAACTTGCACTTTCAGGGACTTGCAAAAATAATAATTACACTTGTATTTTATACCCAACAAACATTTCACTCTGTAGTGGAATCAAAGCAAGAAGCTGCAAGTACAACTGCTTGCAATTATTTTGACTATTTTTTAGAATTTTAAGCAGAGATTTTTACTGTATTAATTGAGATAAGTTATTTCCATCTCTCACTGAACTTCTTATGCTTTGCTGAGGGTCCAGTCAGTGCCTTTCAGAACACGTTGCTGCTTCTAATGAACCTCATAGAGCACCACGCACGACAGAACAAGAAATTAACTTTGTGAGAGCCAGGAGGGTACAGGTTTAATTTCTCTTGAATCAGCAGAACACCACTAATCCTGGATAATAATGTGCCACAGTCTTGAGGAAGAGAAAATTCAGCTCTGATGTTGAGCCTGCCCCAGCTCACTTGGCTATCCCACACTGACTATCCAACATCCCTGAGTTCCTCAAGGAAAAACAAACCAGAATAAAGTGATTTTCCATCTGGGAGTCTACTCCCGCCTGCTGGGGATGGGAAATGATTTAAGCAGCATTTCCTTGGTGCTACACAAGTGATGTGGAGCAGGTGCACTGAATGTGGCTCCTCTTCCCTCAGGTGCTGTGGTCCATCCTGGCCAGGGCTCCAGCAGGAAGGGATTTCATTTCAGCCAGATCCACTTGTCCCCAGCGTCAGCGTTGTAGCCTGCCTTGTACTTGCGCCCAGGGAGCTAAAGAAAGCAGAAAGCTCAGTCAGAACTCTGGTCACTCCCCTCAAAGTCCTGAAGTGCCTCGTGGAATCTACAGAACATGAAATACTCTTTTTACATTGCAATGATAAAACTTACGGGAAAATCAGGCTCTTGGAAAAGACCGAGTTGTGCAGCTGAAGGAGGGACTGCAAAAACCACCATACAAAACCATAATATATGTATGAAAATGAGGCCAATGATCTCAGCACCACATTCCACCTGGATTCATCCAGCTCCTCCCAGCCTGAGTAAGATGGCTCCCCTAACTGTATCATGGAGGAGAGGAACTGAATCTCATTCCAAAATAGGCACATAAGTTATTAAATACATGAAAGACTTCATGCATGAGATACTGAGTTAATTACCACATTAAATTAAACTGTTCAAATGAAACTGCAGATTTAGCCTTCAAGAGCTGAACTTATCTTCATTAAAGCAAAAACAGTATCTGCCCATCTTCATCAGCAAAGTCAGGAACCACTTTTTGATGGAAAACCCAAAGATTTTTGAAGCCTTTACCCAAATTGCAAGGACCCTGGGACCTAAGCAGCAGCCTGTGAGTCTCAGTGCTGAAGCAGCGCCCTTTGGAAGGTACTGACCACGACCTGGAATGCCAGAGATGGTGAGGTCCTGGTTCCAAAAGCAAAATCCATCTCCAGAACATCCATTCCTACCTCCAGGAACCAAAAAGAAATGGAACAGAACACCTCTGAGCTCC